TATGGTGGTGGTGATTCCCCTGTGTATGGTGGTGGTGATTCCCCTGTGTATGGTGGTGGTGACTCCACTGTGTATGGTGGTGATGACTCCCCTGTGTGTGGTGGTGGTGACTCCCCTGTGTGTGGTGGTGGTGGTGACTCCCCTGTGTGTGGTGGTGGTGGTGACTCCCCTGTGCATGGTGGTGGTGGTGACTCCCCTGTGTATGGTGGTGGTGACTCCCCTGTGTATGGTGGTGGTGGTGACTCCCCTGTGCATGGTGATGGTGGTGACTCCCCTGTGCATGGTGGTGGTGGTGACTTGTGTATGGTGGTGATGGTGACTTCCCTGTGTATGGTGATGTGACTTCCCTGTGTATGGTGGTGGTGGGAACTTCCCTATGTATGGTGGTGGTGGTGACTTCCCTGTGTATGGGGGTGACTTCCCTGTGTATCGGGTTGACTCCCCTGTGTTTGGTGGGGGTGACTCCCATGTGTATGGGGGTTGTGGTGACTCCCCTGTGTAATAGGGGTTGTGGTGGCTTCCCTGTGTATAGTGGTGGTGATTCCCCCGTGTATGGTGGTGGTGGTGACTCTTCCCTCTGTATGGTGGTGACTCCCCTGTGTGTGGTAGTGGTGACCCTTCCATGCGATTACCGTGGTATGCTCCTCCCCCTCGTTTGTGGTGGTGACTCCTCCTGTGTATGGTGGTGGTGTCCTCCCTGTATGGTGTGGTGGGACTCCCTGTGTATGGTGGTGACTTCCCTGTGTATGGTGGTGGTGACTTCCCTGTGTATGGGTGGTGTGGTGACTTCCCTGTGTATGGGAGTGACTTCCCTGTGTATGGTGGGTGACTTCCCTGTGTATGATGGTGTGACTCCCCTGTGTATGGGAGTGACTCCCTGTGTATGGTGAGGTGACTTCCCTGTGTATGGGTAGTGACTTCCCTGTGTGATGGTGGTGGTGACTTCCCTGTGTATGGTGGATGGTGACTTCCCATGTGTGTATGGTGAGTGACTTCCCTGTGTATGGGGTGACTTCCCATGTGTATGTATGGGGTGACTTCCCCTGTGCATGGGAGGTGACTCCCTGTGCTATGGGAGTGACTTCCCTGTGTATGGGAGTGACTTCCCTGTGTATGGGAGTGACTTCCCTGTGTATGGGAGTGACTTCCCTGTGTATGGGAGTGACTTCCCTGTGTATGGGAGTGACTTCCCTGTGTATGGGAGTGACTTCCTGTGTATGGGTGACTTCCCTGTGTATGGGGGTGACTCCCATGTGTATGGGGAGTGACTTCCTGTGTAATGGGTTGTGGTGGACTTCCCTGTGTATGGTGGTGGTGATTCCCCTGTGTATGTGGTGGTGGTGACTCTTCCCTGTGTATGTGTGGTGACTTCCCCTGTGTATGGTGTGGTGATTCCCTTGTATGGTGTGGTGGGACTTCCCTGTGTATGGGGTGACTTCCCTGTGTAGTGGTGGTGACTTCCCTGTGTATGGGGTGGTGACTTCCCTGTGTATGGGAGTGACTTCCCTGTGTATGGGAGTGACTTCCCTGTGTATGGGAGTGACTTCCCTGTGTATGGGAGTGACTTCCCTGTGTATGGTGGTGGTGACTTCCCTGTGTATGGTGGTGGTGACTTCCCTGTGTATGGTGGTGGTGACTTCCCTGTGTATGGTGGTGGTGACTTCCCTGTGTATGGTGGTGGTGACTTCCCTGTGTATGGTGGTGGTGACTTCCCTGTGTATGGTGGTGGTGACTTCCCTGTGTATGGTGGTGGTGACTTCCCTGTGTATGGTGGTGGTGACTTCCCTGTGTATGGTGGTGGTGACTTCTGTGTATGGTGGTGGTGACTTCTGTGTATGGTGGTGGTGACTTCTGTGTATGGTGGTGGTGACTTCTGTGTATGGTGGTGGTGACTTCTGTGTATGGTGGTGGTGACTTCTGTGTATGGTGGTGGTGACTTCTGTGTATGGTGGTGGTGACTTCTGTGTATGGTGGTGGTGACTTCTGTGTATGGTGGTGGTGACTTCTGTGTAGGTGGTGGTGACTTCTGTGTATGGTGGTGGTGACTTCTGTGTATGGTGGTGGTGACTTCTGTGTATGGTGGTGGGACTTCATCGTATGGTGGTGGTGACTTCTGTGTATGGTGGTGGTGACTTCTGTGTATGGTGGTGGTGACTTCTGGTATGGTGGTGGTGACTTCTGTGTATGGTGGTGGTGACTTCTGTGTATGGTGGTGGTGACTTCGTGTATGGTGGTGGTGACTTCTGTGTATGGTGGTGGTACTTCTGTGTATGGGGTGGCGACTTCGGTATGGTGGTGGCGACTTCTGTGTATGGTGGTGGGACTTCTGTGTATGGTGGTGGTGACTTCACTGTTATGGTGGTGGTACTCAGTGTAACGTGTGCTGAACTTGCATGTATGGTGGTGGAAATCACCATAGTTATACATCACCTGGGTATGTTATAAACAAAGTTAAAACGTAATCTGAACGCAAATGTAACTAAGTATTCCAAAGGTCACGTTACAAATGAGGACTTATACAATTACTGACAGTCTGGAGTTTCCGACAGACTAGGCATAGCAATGGACTTTCGCGACCAACATGCAGTGTCAGGTTAAAATGTCTATGCAGGTCTTCCATTACTATCTGGCTGTAATGACAACTAGCAGTACTAAACGTTGCAACCCGACTCAACTCAGGTAATCAAAGGTGCTGGACATGTTTCCCTAATGACAGTTTAGATTATTAGGTAAAGCAAGGGTGTCCGTGTTTTGATATATCCTGATATGTTCGTGAATCCTTATAATACTATAATGCTACTTATGTCTTTCTAATATTTTAACGATTGATACTAAGTGCGTGTGTGGCTAATAAAAAAAATACATATATATATATCTATATAATATATTAATATATATATAAATAACATATAATACCTTTTAATACACACTGCCATTCCCACCAAGGCAGCGGTGGGTCCCGAATAAGAATTAACTTTCACCATCATTCACTCCAACACGTACTGTCAAAGGTGCTTTACACTACATTTTTAACTGCAACTTTCACACCTTCCTCTTCAGATGCGCACTGACGTCCCATCCCAGACTCAAGTCCGGTCTGCCGTTTCCCTAACCCCTTTCATAAATGTTACTTTGCTCACACTCCAACAGCACGTCAAATTTAAAAACCATTTGTCTCTATTCACTCCTATCAAACAGGCTCACGCATGCCTGCTGGAAGTCCAAGCCCCTCGCACACAAAACCTCCTTTACCCCCTCCCTCCAACCTTTCCTAGGCCGACCCCTACCCCGCCTTCCTTCCACTACAGACTGATACACTCTTGAAGTCCTCTGTTTCGCTCCATTCTCTCTACATGTCCGAACCACCTCAACAACCCTTCCTCAGCCCTCTGGACAACAGTTTTGGTAATCCCGCACCTCTTCCTAACTTCCAAACTACGAATTCTCTGCATTATATTCACACCACACATTGCCTCTCAGACATGACATCTCCACTGCCTCCAGCCTTCTCCTCGCTGCAACATTCATCACCCATGCTTCACACCCATATAAGAGCGTTGGTAAAACTATACTCTCATACATTCCCCTCTTTGCCTCCAAGGACAAAGTTCTTTGTCTCCACAGACTCCTAAGCGCACCACTCGCCCTTTTCCCCTCATCAATTCTATGATTCACCTCATCTTTCATAGACCCATCCGCTGACACGTCCACTCCCAAATATCTGAATACATTCACCTCCTCCATACTCTCTCCCTCCAATCTGATATCCAATCTTTCATCACCTAATCTTTTTATTATCCTCATAACCTTACTCTTTCCTGTATTCACTCTTAATTTTCTTCTTTTGCACACCCTACCAAATTCATCCACCAATCTCTGCAACTTCTCTTCAGAATCTCCCAAGAGCACAGTGTCATCAGCAAAGAGCAACTGTGACAACTCCCACTTTATGTGTGATTCTTTTTTAACTCCACCCTCTTGCCAAGACCCTCGCATTTACTTCTCTTACAACCCCATCTATAAATATATTAAACAACCATGGTGACTAATATATATATATATATATATATATATATATATATATATATATATATATATATATATAATATATATATATATATAATTTATATATATATAATGTCGTGCCGAATATGTAAAACTGATCATTTAGCGAGAACTCGTTTACAACTAAGTCATTTCTAAAATTTTCTCTTATACGTTTAAAGATATATTTATTTCATTAATATTGACGTAAAAAATTATAATTTTGCACGAAAAGGAACTTAGAAAACTTACCTAACCTTATTATAACAAGAACAATTTATTTTAGCCTAACCCAATTAAATATATTTTAGATTTGTTTACAATAATTTAATACTAAACAAACACAGTGAAATATATTTTTTTCGTTAGGTTCAGAATGATTTTGGCGAAATTATTGCATACACAAATTTTCACTTGTCCTATATGGCAAGATGAGCGTTGCTATTTAAGCTAAGATCGCAAGTTCTGCCTATTCGGCACGACATATATATATATATATATATATATATATATATATATATATATATATATATATATATATATATATATATATATATAACAAAAACGCATTTAGGTGCTAAGATTTACAAACACATACATATACACTGACGGGAGTACGCTAGAATAAAAAATATGAAGTAAAATAGTCAGGAAAGGAAAGTAATCTAACCAGTTTCCCCCTCCCTTCCCCCCGCCCCCCTTCCTCACGCCCCCCTTCCTCACGCCTCCCTCCCCCCGCTATTCCTCTTGTTAAAACACAAGAGGTAAGATGGTGTTGCCAGAGAATACAGGATTTTACTTTTAGAAGCTAAATTAAAATTATATTTTATATTTTGATATTTCCTGTCCCCAAAAATATGGGACTTCATAATTTGACTCGTCCGGTGGCTTATGCACACACACACACACACACACACGGTATTTGAGTTATTGGTTTGTGTGTATTTCTGGTGCAGGTGTTTGCATCGTACCAGGACGATCACCCGCTGGGAGAAGAAGAACTGTCAGATGCGCAGGTCACCCTGGTCATGAGCTCCACTGGACGCAGCTCTCAGGTAAGTCACCACAGGTCACCCTGGTCATGAGTACCTCTAAGTAGGCTTAGGCACCTGTCATGGCACTCTGGACGCATCTCTCGGGTCTACATAATATCAGTCATTCAGTTTACATATCTCGACAGGATTGTGATTTATTGTTCTTTATGTATGTGTTACTGTAGACGAGAACACCAAGAACCTCACGAGGACACACGGAACCTCACGAGGCTTTCCTGAAGTTAATGTTGATACCGGAAGATTGGTAGGTGCAGTTCAATGTGGACAAATATACTTTTGTAATCCTGGGAAAGAACTATAACCACAGTCCTTCTAAATTATAGAATCTAGAATTTAATCAACGTTCTTTCTGATTTGATGAAATCTTTAGCCAAGGCAACGGTGCGTAAGTGGATTCGTACCAAAATGTATAAACATTATTGTTTTATTTGTTGGTAATTGCTAAATGCATTAATAATAGAAGTTCTCAGACTGAGACGCTTGTCCAGTACTTGGGTATCTTTATTGTGGAAACGTTTCGCTAACCAGTGGCTTCTTCAGTCCAATACAGAGAAGAATGGTGGAATATAAGAAGGAATTTGAGGTATCAGTCGATGTGGTCAGTCCGTCAATATTTTATCAAGATTGATGAACTTACCACATCGACTCCAAGCTGAGGGACTGATAACCTCAAACTCCTTATGATCTTCCACCAGTATTCTCTGTATTTGACTGAGGAAGCCACTGGTTGGCGAAACGTTTCCACAATAAAGATACCCAAGCGTTGGACAAGCGTCTCAGTCTTCAACTTGTCGGTTCTCTGGACCATTTATCTACAGAAGTCCTTAGGCTATACTGCAAATATATTGGATCAGACAATGCACTGAAATTCTCAGGGAAGGAGATCAGTTATATATGAATTAGAAAACAGTGAATAGTTAATTCCTCGTATCAGCAATATCTCCTAGGCAAACAGGCTGAACTTTCTGGACGTGGGTGACTTCAGTCTCTCTCATGCACTGAGCCTCAACTCCAGAGTCCAGCCTTTTCTTTGCTATAAATTAACGATATTTTCTAATTGGCTAAAATTTCGGAGAATTAAGGTTTTTATCAATTTCTGTGAATGTTAATCTTAATATGTATATATCCACTTATATTTCTTTATCCATTGTCTTCTCGTGTGCTCAATGCTTGGAAATGATCAAAGTCTTTGCTGTTCAGTAGATATGCCAGAGCCAATAAATAGGAGTGTTGTGTTCAACAAATGTTTTTATAATGTTTTTCTAAATTTTTTCAGCCCTTATTGCATTTATTTATCCCCCCCCCCGTCCCCTTGGCCTTCGAGAAATGTAAACATTTGTGACTGTTTTTTTTTTTCCTTCATAATGAAAAACGTTTCACATTCTGCGGATTGTGATAGCATCATACCTTTGGGTGATATTTTTCTTCTTTATCCTGGACACGATGGTGAGGTGGTATATATATAACGTTAGTGTATCTGCAGGTGGAAAAGGTGGAGGTGTCGGGACAGACGTTGTTGGATGGCTCTGGTGTTGCTCAAGTAATTTTCGATCTACCTGATGGCACTCAGGCACTCAAGGTTGATGCCAGGTGAGTCTGATCATTACTGTAAGTCACCCTGTTTTAACCTGGTTTTAGTCCCTGATGTATTTACAGAGGGGTTTAGGCATCGTGGTGACTATCAGCTGGCTTCCTCACTCTTTTCATCACGCAGTTGGAGTTGTTATTGTTGGGGTGTGTGAAGAATTGTGTAAATTACATGATAGAATAAATGGCATCTGAAAAGTCATATCGAATTTGTTGACCAATAAGTGAAATGGAGAAGAGTATCGATTGATGAAGACACACACGAATTATAATGCGATTCTTTATTGACAGCGTTTCGCCCAAGCAATGAGCTTTTCAAATCACAAATATAAAAACATAAATGATCAAATATAGGGTGAGTAAAAAGGTGGAAAGTCAGGTTACTTTTCGGGTATTTTAAGAAAAACAGTTTGTATGATGGAGCAGAGGGTCAATTTGTGAAGGACCTTGGTAACATGGGCTGGTAGTTTGAATGAAAGATTTAAAAAAACGACCTACTGCAGAGCTCGTTTTATTAAGTTTATTTAGGTACAGGAACACAAGTATAATTATCATACATAGTTTAACGTACGTGTAAATTATCCAGCAGGATAACCCCCAAAAATGTCGGTCACTTAGGACCATTATGGTCCTTGTAATGTCTTAATAATTAAAGTCTAGCTGCAAGTTACAGTAGAAATCAGTCATGGTTATAATCTTAAAAATTAAAATAACTAAGTAACTCAGCTGTGTGTAAATAAGTTACATTAAAAGGAGATGCACTAGAAATAAAGTGAGCTGAATTATTTTCATGAATATTAAAAAAATAATTTTTACCATAATAGGTAAAAGAATATCTATACAAAAAAAAAACATTTTTCTCTCTTTCGCTCTTAGCTCTTCTTTTTGATAATAATAATAATAATAATAATAATAATAATAATAATAATAATAATAATAATCTCCCTTTCGTTGTTATGAGGGAAACTGATCTAGAAGCTTCATGTCACAATATATATTACAGATAACTTGATAAATAAGACATAAGTGCAACATTTGGGTATATTTATTATCGAGCAGAGCTTACCTTAATAGCAAGGCTCACCTGTGACATCAGATGGTAGTGACGCTCACCTGTGACATCAATTTCAGCTACTTCATCTCGCATCTACTCTAGTATACAAAGTCTAACTGCATGTCTACAATATACTTCAGGTTTGAGGGACTGATTACCTCTCACCGAGGTTGACGGACTGAACACGTCACTTCTGCTTCTGATCTAATTGCTGCATATAGTTTTACCCGACTGATGAAGCCTGTTGTGCAGGCGAAACGTTTAGGTAATATAGATACCCAAATGTGTCTTATTTACCAGGATCAGCTGTGTTGTAGAAGCCATCGTTCTGGTGGAAGTTGTTGTAAAAATGGCTTAGAATCCCGGCAAGTTGATAAACGAAACTTGTGCAACACTTGGGTATCTATACTGTGGAGACATTTCGCCAGTCATTGGCTTCATCAGTCCAGTACAGTGAAGCACGGTGCTGGTGCTGACACCAGCGAGTCCTGGTGTCAGCACCAGGACTCTGGTGAACATGGGGTGTCAGCAGCAGGGCTCTCATTGTAGTGATGGTGGTGGTGAACATGGGTTGTCAGCACCAGGGCTCTCACTGTAGTGATGGTGGTGGTGAACATGGGTTGTCAGCACCAGGGCTCTCACTGTAGTGATGGTGGTGGTGAACATGGGTTGTCAGCACCAGGGCTCACTGTGTAGTGGTGTTGCAGGTTGGTAAGCAGCAGTGGGATGACAGCATCAGCCACACTGGTGGGGGCGCTGCATCACTCACCCAAGAACCGTCACCTGCAGATCGAGACCTCAACCACGGACGCCACACCGGGGGAATTCATAATCCTTCACGTCAGAAACAACTTCTACACTGAATACTTCAACTATGTGGTGAGTAAACCTTCATGAACTAACTTCGTGTTTCTACAAGTCTTTTATCCACTCATCAGCATGAATAAATCCAGTTCTCTCCTGTAGTCTTTAAAGAACGTAGGAGAGAACAGGGCTATTGGATTAATACATATAAACACTTAGTAAATGAGGTTGGTAGTATATTGCAAAAGAAGTGCAGGATTTCCTGCTCTTAGATGATAGTAAAGGTGGTGATATCTCCATTTTGAAAAAAAAAATGTCAATGTCAATGTCGTGTCAATCATTTGAACTGAAATTTATTGTCATTATACGGATATGCTCATTATTGTAGAAAATTGGGATAATTTTTGGAACCCTCTAGGGTTCCTTTGTATTTACTTAAAGCAAAAAAAAGAAAAATGTTTTAGTTTAACCAAGCGTAAATGGTCTTCGACGGACGAACCCTGACCTCCTATCACTGACCATTAACACTCAACTTGTGTGTGTCGGTGGTAGTGACATGCTTACCTGTCCGTGGTTATATCCGGCGACCTTGGCTCCTCTTCTGGTCTTCCTGCACTATAATTTAATGTCTGCAGGAAATGACCACCTATTACCGCGATATTTTCTCGCCAAAAAACTAAACCTCTCAGCGGGTTCAGCACGAACCCATTCAGGAAGTGAACCCTTTTATAACAATCCCGTTCGTGAGGACCGAAATTTGTAATAAATTAATAGCATTCAATAGAATAATCTCAGTAAAAAGGATGACTTACGTTAGCATTGTCGAGAAAATAACTGAATAAAGCTGTGCCTTGCCTACTAATGTGAGGACAAGACACAAGTTGGGACGATGATTCACTGTGCTGAGAAATGACTCGAGTCGTAACTTGATAAAATCTCATCACTGATTCGTCGCCCCCAGTAAAAGTTTATTTTTTTAAAGCATGTATCTTTGCCTTCAGATTGTGAATTTAAACTATTAGTGGCTAACTAATGTCTTAAATTTTTTTTATGTGAAGCGCTGTATGGCCCCTGTGGGGGGGGGGAGCAAAGTTACTAGTTATGGGTGATTTCAATCACAAGGGTGGGTGAGGGCTCGATTTTCCGTCCTGTTAACAGCCTTTCTAGTCGCGAAATCACTTGAGAATGCAGTTTAAATGACTAACATTATTATTATAATCAAGGGGAAGCGCTAAACCCGGAGGATTATACAGCGCCTGGGGGGGGGATGTGGAAGGTATTCAGGCTTAATTCGGAGAAGTGGAGCACAGATCCAATTCCCTAAATCAAGAGCCCCTCACCAACATCAAGGAACCTTCCTTGAGGGGTAAATGACTAACAACTGACGAGATAGTCACCAAAAATATTTTCATAGAATTAATCTGAGTCAAGTCATAAGATTAAGAAAAAGATGTTAAATGCAAAGTGTTTGATGGTGATCAAAGCAGTATCACATGATGTGTCTAACATTGCAATGAACTCCTTCAAAACAGAGGAACACAATTCAAGTTGCGAGTGGCACAATAATGCTCCTATGTAAGCTTAGGAAATAGTGACATAAGCAGTTTCTAAATGTACGTCCTTCGCACATATAGTAATATTGTGAATATCTCACAGCCGGTGTAGTTCCATAAATAACAGTGTGAACGACTCACTGCTGTTTGTGGAGCTGGTGCTTTTCCTTAATAAGTAGTGTGAATATCTAACAACTGGTATCGCATACCAAGTATTGTGAACGTCTCCCAGTTGATGTTTCTAAACACGGGTATTAATTCTACACGTGTCTTATTTCAACAAAAGTTTATCATACATCACAGGTCTTGGCGCAAGGTGTAGTGATCTACAGTGGAAGAGAACTGGTAAAGGATAATGGACTATCCACCATCACCACGTTTTCCTTGCCGGCCTCTACAGAGATGACCCCAGCAGTGCACATTGTGGTCTGGGTGGTGGCAAAAGATGGTCAGCTCGTCTCCCACGCCCTCGTCGTCCCCGTCAACCCACTGGGACGACACAAGGTAAGGCAAGCTCAGAGAATACAGAAAAAAGGACAGTATATTATGATACGAAAAAAATAGCTGAAGTTATTCTTCCACATCAAGCAAGAACAAGAACAGCAAATTGGAGTTACGCAAAATATTGACATATATACCTGCTCCCATACCTTTGTGTGTTAGTGTGTGGCCAGTTAGTGGTCCAAATCGGACCGAAACTTCGTCATAAGTTTTTGTCGTATGTGCAGATTATTTGTGTATTGTTAAAGTCACGGCATTGTCTTTTTCTTTAGGTAAAATGTTGGGCCGCTTAACAAGGGACAAGTAGAGGTTAGTTGGTCGTGTAGATAACGTATCACTGGGAATGTATAAGTTCAACTAACTAGATGGAAGCAGAGTATTGTTTTGAGGTCAAATAGTAAGAGGCTATCACGCTTGTCTTGTTCAGGTGGACATCCGGTGGAATGAGCATAAAGACCACAGTGGTGGATCAGCGGAGATGAAGATGATCGGGGAGATTGGTGCATTCTTTGCCGTGTCCTCTGTCTGGGAAGAGACTCACCACATGGACGCCGGTCACGAGCTGGACGCCGCCAGGGTCCTCTACCACATGCTAAATCTGGAAAAGAACGACACTTTGTACGAAGGAAGCTCTAACATTTCCGTGCCCCACGTACGTCGAGCCGCTACCAGGTACGTTTGTACACAGTCCAACGTGAGCAATTTTTTGCAAAGAAAAAGTATGTTTCTCTTTTCTGTCCTTATTTCTCTGATTTTGATGTCTGTCTTTAAATATGTGTACTTTATTTCGTATGCATATAAAGCAGAAGTAACAAGTTGCTTCATTGTTACTGATTAGGTCCAGGGACGGCAATGGGGCCAAGGTGTTCCTCTTCCCCACAGCGATGGCCGGGCCCGATGCGCCCTCCACATTCAACTTCAGCGACCTCGTTGTGCTGACGGATGCTGACCTTTTCTATCATCCGCATCACGCTTCAGGTGAGCAACAAATGATGTGTAAGCCATCGTACTGTCCTAGTTGGTCGGATTTTTATTATCTGTATTCTAAAGCACAAATTTCTACAGATGACAAACATAGATATGTAGTAAAAAATTTTGTACTCTATTCCTAATGTAGGCATTTAAAGCCTACATTGATGGCGCACACACAAGGGTGTATGTTATGCCAATTGTTGAAATGAGATTATAAAATGAAACTCAAAATATACAATAACTTCCAGAGGATACACTCAATCTCGTATGGGAACACACACACAGTGCTTCAGATGGGTGTACAATACCTCAGATGGGTACACAATACCTCAGATGGGTACACAATACCTCGGATGGGTACACAATACCTCAGATGGGAGCACAGTCTGTACTTTAACCATTACTGAACAGTGTAAAATTAATAACAAACCTGATTGCTGGTATATAAACATGACACACACACACACACACACACACACACACACACACACACACACACACACACACACACACACACTCCCACGGTGAAGATTTTCTCAGTGACGATAATTATACTAAGAAAATAATTCCAATATCTGAACTGATTTTTAAGTTTTGAAAGAGCTCATTTTCAAGACATAAAATTTCAATGGGGGTGATATCTTTTCTTTTTACATAATATTTACAAAAAAGGTAAAATTTTGTGCAATGTTGTATTAGTCAGCCATGTAATATTCAAACCGCAGCCAGACAGTACGTGGTCTGCTTGTTGTGTAGAAACACTCGTGTCTAGTAACCTGTAAGCAAACAGTCCTCAGGAGAGTTAAAACTTCCAGCTGAACTGACTGACGTACACGACGCCTCAAATATTTATTGTTTAACGTAATATTTGTCTGAATTTACATTTTGCTGCAGTATTTTTGGCCATCTTATATACGGGCTGCAATGCGTTGTGTTAACAGAGACCCCAGAGTGCGGCGAGAGGGAGTTCAAATGTCTTACCGGAGGTTGCTTCGGCTTCGAGCAGCGCTGTGACACCCACTTTGATTGTCTTGATCGCTCCGACGAGGCTGGCTGTGAGTCACATTTGCCCTTAATATTAAGTAGTTAAGGTGGAAATAGGATTTGGTCTTCTAATGCAGCGACTATCTCTACTACTCATACTGATATGTCCTGGATAGTCCTTGGTCAACCAGTCGTCTCCAAGGTAGTCAGTTAAGTAAGACAAGGCCTGCACCGGTACTGTATTTGTACTGGACACAGCTAGCCCTAGCAGTGCATGCAGCTAGCCCTAGCAGTATATCCAGCTATTCCTAGCAGTGTATCCAGCTAATCCTAGCAGTGTATGCAGCTGTTTCTAGCAGTGTATCTAGTTGAAGCGTAATTTTTTCAAAAATTTTCTGGTAAGTGAATACTAAATATTAGAGCATCTGTATCACTGTTAGTGGATGGAGGATCGAGCCTGAAGCATTCCTTGAACTTAATAAAACGCATTGAGTCATCACTATATTATATATATATTTATATATATATTATATATATATAATATATATATATATATAATATATATATATATATATATATATATATATAATAAATCTATAAATAAATCACAGAACAGGCTTTACCCTCATTTTGTTTCATTTTTGTTCGTAGTTCCATTCTGTTGTGCATTATTAAACAACTTTGCTTTGCAAATAGTTTTCCATTCTTGTGTGTCACTGTGTCAAATTTGTTTAGTGTCTTAATGGAGAACAGGTTAAGTACTTTGAGTATTTTTTTCACAGATTTTGTTTCTCAATGAATATGCGAGTTTGTTGCCCTCTCAAGTTTATCTACGTCTTTTATGTAATTTGGGAACTAAAACTGCACAGTATTTAAGGTAAGATCCAATGAGCTTATTTTATAAGATATTGTTTAAGTTTTACTGTTCGCAGTTAGACGTTATTAGCCTATTGTTTCACTCCTGATGACTACTCAATCTCTTCTCTTCTCTCAGATACCCCTCAAGGAAGGTTCCTTGATGTTGGTGAGGGGCTCTTGATTTAGGGAATTGGATCTGTGCTCCAGTTCCCCGAATTAAGCCTGAATGCCTTCCACATCCCCCCCCCAGGCGCTGTATAATCCTCCGGGTTTAGCGCTTCCCCCTTGATTATAATAATAATAAATTCTCTCAGATTGTGGCTTTTCAAATATTTTATTTGTCACATCATTATAATATGTGCTACACTGTGGGGACTCGTCTCGCCATGCCTCCGACTACTAGTCTTTTAATATAGTTTTAAATTGATGGACTCGATTTGGAAGTATATATATATTAAATCGGGTTCATCATTTTGAAACGTCCTGTATTTAATAGCATATTGTTGCTGAGGATGCAACTTGTATCAAAGGTATACAATACCGACAAGATGATGAATTAGACGAGTGTGCAGTATCTTGGTATCTTAAAGACTATGGTGTGCATCACCAGCTCTGAGCACTAGGCTGAGGGACTGATTACCTCGTCTTCCACTGTCTTTTGTACATATTTCTACAGTCTTCAGATTATGTCCATGTATTGTGTTAAGCTACTGGATGGCGAAACGTCTACGAAGATACCCAGATGTTGCACATGTCTAATGCATCATGAAACTGCTTACATACCAATAACGTGCAACCTCTCCTTCTCTTCACAAGTATTTAGCATCATGTATTGACCAAAAATTTCTTCTGGCTCCTTTTCTTTGTCACAGCATTCATAATGATTTATGATGGTAGAGTCATTTAATACATCTTTTGCTCGTTCTCCAAATTGCTCAGTTATATCTGTATTGTGTCCCTAGAAAGTGTAGCTTCTCTATTTTCTTATTCTGCATATTTCTATATATGGTTATTATAAATGTCTCCTGCTAAAAATAGAAGAGGTAAGTAATCGGAATCAATACAGGAGTACAGGTTAACTTTCATCTACATTGCTGCTATTACGAAATCATAATGACACGATTGCAGACAAACCATACCATGGGTGGTGTTGAACTCGTGGCGAGTGACCTGGAGTTTAAGACTCGCCACGAGTTCAATCCCCACCCGTGGTAAGGTTTATTATTATTAGTGTTATTTTCCTAGGGGGAGTACTAAACCCACAAGGTTCATGTAGCGCCTGTGCAGAATTACGATCCACTCTAACTTCAGTAATCTTGCACCGCGCAGGTCCTGTGGTGGAAGATCCTCTACGAGAATTCAGACTCCGGCGCCTGAGTCGTCTCCATCGCTTCTACGACCCTGATGACGGTGACTGGGCGTGGATGGACGTGCGTGGCGTGGGCCGGGAGATTCAGGTGTTTCCCATCCCCAAGAGACCTCAAAACTGGGTGGTATCCATGTTCGCCGTCGGTAAAGAGACCGGCCTGGGTATCCTGGAGGAGAAAATTCAGGTGAGGCAACGGCTGGGTGATTACCCTTGAGATGTTAGTGAAGGATATGAAATAGGGTAACTATTTACGATATGTCTGGTGGCTAAGAGACTGATGACTGAGTACTGCAAACTGCTAGTCGGCAGAAGAGAATGTGGAGTTAGTGGCTAAATTTATGATGGAATGTCCCAACGTCTTGGCAGTCTGTTCCAAAGCTGAGGACAAGAATCAGGGTAGCAATACTGACGGAGTTTTTATTGATGGTCGTCGTGATGTGTCAGTAGCCATTATTGTTGTTATCGCTACATTCGTGAAGGAGCACTAAACCCGAATGGTTAAACAGTACCAGGGGAGATTGGAGGCATCCAGGTTCGATCGAAGGGGAGCATAGCATGCAGACATTCTAACAAGGGATTGAATACAAATTTTACAATATGGAATTGGGTGGAAAATTGTGAAAGGAACACTGTGATCAATCCTGCGATTACACTTACACACACACACACACACACACACACACACACACACACACACACACACACACACACACACACACACACACACACACACACACACGAGCTGAGTCTCGACCCCTGCAACCACAATTAGGTGAGTACACACACACACACACACACACACACACACACACACACACACACACACACACACATAACGACATACAAAATACTGAGAGGAATTGACAAGGTGGACAAAGACAGGATGTTCCAGAGATGGGACACAGCAACAAGGGGACACAGTTGGAAGTTGAAGACACAGATGAATCACAGGGATGTTAGAAAGTACTTCTTCAGCCACAGAGTAGTCAGGAAGTGGAATAGTTTGGGGAGCGATGTAGTGGAGGCAGGATCCATACATAGCTTTCAGCAGAGGTATGATAAAGCTCACGGTTCAGGGAGAGTGACCTAGTAGAGACCAGTGAAGAGGCGGGGCCAGGAGCTTGGAATCGACCCCTGCAACCTCAACTAGGCGAGTACAACTAGGTGAGTACATACACACGAGAGAGCACCACGCCGGCTAGGCCACGACTGTAAGCAATCTCGCAATCCTATTTTTGAACGTAGGCACAAGAGTGGAAAAGTTCCTGTTGTTGCCCAGATCACCAAATCATATCAGTCATCAGGGGAAAATTCACACATTCAGTGTTGTGAAACCACTCAATACTTGAAGTTAAGGACGAAAAGGATGCTTAGAAGAAGTGGTTATACAGACAAAACATTAATGAATATAGTCAGGAAACTGCATAAGTCCTTTTGCGAAAATAAGGATTTCTGAACAGATAACACCCAAACCCAGCTCCATCTGTCACCTCGTCTACTTCCTCTCTTTTTGTCTGTTGTGATGGGATGTGTAAAAGTAGGACATATGTATGTTGATCTCTAATCCGGGTATTACGGTAGCTGCTTGCCAGTGACAGGATCATCGTATGTACAAGACCAGTGTCAGCAGACATTTTATCTGGCGAATTAGAGGATTACCAATGTTTGTAGGACTTGATATTGTTGCTTTTCTGTTGGATATTACTATAATTATATTATGATCATCATCTCCTTCATTATTAGAGATATCCTCATCGTCACCACTAACAGTGCCACTTCCACAATTTTAACACTCTTCACCATCATGGCTGCAGTTCGACTCTGCTGGACCATTCATGTTGACGCTGGAAGGTCCAAGGGTGGCGCGCCAGTTCGAGCAGGTAGGACTGCGGGCGTGCGTTTTTAACTTCCACTCCAGCAAGGTGGGAGTACTGATCACTCTGCCCGAGTCTGACGACTACCGCTCTGTCCTGGTGGAGAAGAATGGCGTAGTTATGTCGTACAAGCCCAGGACTGCAACCGGTGAACACCAACACATTGTGTGGGTCAGTCTGTCCACTGTTTTGTTTTGTATACACGATTTAAAAAAGACTTGCACGAGCACATACTAGTTTAAAAGAAATGTATACTCGCATAAGGGGCCCCTTGAGGTTTAAAGCGTGGAGAGGTGGTTCAAGGAAAGAATAAATGAAAAAGTGCGTGAGTTATCCGTTTTGGATAGAAGTAATGAAGTGATAAAACCAGGGGAGTAAAATTACTTGGCAGTTCAAAGTGAATAAGACGAGACGTTATAAGGGGAAGTGGATGTATTATAGAAATGGCGATAATATTTTAAGCTGAGAAATGGTAAGCAGATTTAATGAATGTATGGGGCTTCCAAACTTCTTAATCGTCCAGGACTTGAAGCTTAATCTGGCTTCATTTCCAGTTTGTGGGGTTAATGTCAATTTTTCCAGCTATGGTATAGTGACTTTTCATTTTTCGTGGAAAATGGAGTTATATTTTTAATAAGGGGAGGAGTCAGAGGGAGTATGGAGGAAATATCCGAGGCGTAGCTGAGGCAGTGAAGGTGTGACAGAAGAAAGTTGAAAATAAATGGGTGTTGAGAATAAGTTGTTTAGGCAATGAACGTTTGGTTGTCAGATTAGAAGCATGACGTATTTACGAAATGCATTTATTTGAATAAATGCATTTCTTTCGGTCAGATACAAAATAATCAACGAGTTTGAGTAATGCGCAAATTTTTGTCCCAGCTGGATCCGGGAGAGTCGCGGGACGTTCATATCCCCATCGTATTTACACGGAAGGGCGAGGTTGAGGTCACCGTGAAGGGCTCCACCATGATGCAGGCTGACAGTGACACCATCATCATTGATGTTACTTCAGAGGTAGGTCCCAAACCAGTCTTATCCTTAAACTGAGAGGTACATGAAAGGGACGAGATACAGAGACAAACATGTGGAACAGGAGGAGAGATGACAAGTTAGTCAAAGACGAGAAAATGTCATAAGGATACAGGTATTACTGGTTAGTTATTAGTTAAAATGTAGATGGTAGATAAAGATATAAGATCCTGTAATCCTCCAGTTAATGTGAGATGGTGTACGTCTCTCCTCATTTGATCATCTACAACTTGTCTGTCTCTCCTCAAAATTTCATTTGACCCATCTCAACTCCCATTCCTTTCCTTCACTTGATCCTCTGCGTCCCTCCCATAATAAGCTCCTTACTGATGCTCTGCCTGCAGGGAGTAACCATCGGGAAGCACACGTCCATTCTGCTGGATCTCAAAAATCGCGCCCTCGTGTACGACTTCCTGGATATCGAACTGGACGAGTCTCCCATCATTCCTTACTCCCTCAAGCGTCGCTACATCTACGACACCCCCATCGGTCACATTTCCGTTACTGGTGAGTGATACTTTTGATACCATTACCACCTGAAGCCTGGAACCATAATAAAGCAGTTGGGTTTTCTCTTGTGTGATCTTGTCTATCAGTGTGAACTAACATAAATCTCCTTTCCTGGCAATTTAATCTGTTTATATGTTTGCTCTTACAAAGTTATGTGAGCTTACCTTGTTTTTATTCCTGTATGGTTGTACAACTAATCATCAATGAGTAGCTGTATATTATATATGCTGAGAGAAATACGCCTCACGGTGAATCATATGCTCATTTAAGGAGCGCAGCTCGCAGCTATTGTTACCTAACTTCTTCCTATTTCTCTCTGCTGTGTAATCTTCAAAGCAGAGGTTGGAGGTTGTTTGGGTCATGTGCTCTTGCTTGCTTATGTTCTCATACCTGTCTGTTTTGCATGCCTATGTAGTCTTGTGTATTCACAGTTGCTTGTGTTCCTATTTTTGTATTCCTACTTGTGTTATTATTTGCTTTCATGTACTTACTAGTTTCTGCGTTTTTACCTGCTTTTGTAATCTTGCTTGCTTAGCTGCTTTCATCTACTTTTTGTCATTACCTATTTCAAATGAATTTCAGATAATTTTCAAAGCCTCTTGTTCGAGGGGGAGATTGCCGACACATATGGGAATTACAAAAACACTGAAGGCATAGGAACCATTATTAAGAGAGCCTTATGACACGGTAAAACTCTCCTTGATGAAGACTTGCTCTGCCTTGTCTGTATTTCCCATACGAAGCTTCCTTAATGTAAGCTGCTTTATAAGGCTGATCTGTGCAGGTGATGTGGTGGGACCGGCCTTCCCTGAGGTGCCAGTGGGAAGTGACACTCTGCTGGGACTCGAAGTAATGGGAGCGGAGACCGCGGCCTTCAACTTTGCTGCCAACCTGTGGACTCTTCACTACCTCCGCCTCACCAATCAGATCAAGCCTGGACTCGCCTACCAGGTACTTGTCTTGACCCCAGTGTCCCGCATTTAGGATTGTTCTAACATACAGGTTTCGTTGATATCGACAAGAGATGTAATTAACATTAGCAAAACTGGTGTCACTGATACTAATAAGAGACGTCATTGGCACCATCAAAGGACGTCATTAGCACTTAGAGCTACTACCATTTTTATTTCTGCTGCTGCTACTAATGTTACTACTAATACTTCTACTATTACTACTACTGTTTCTACTGCTACTTCTACCACAACTATTTATTACTACTACTACTACTGCTATTACTATTACCACTACACTGCTGCTGCTACTATTACTACTACTGTCACTACTACTACCCTCTTCCCTTCCTGTCTTTTGGTCTCTGCGTTTTATTGGCCAGTTTCCTTGATAACGGCCCAAGATGGACCGAAACGTTGTCTAAAGTGAGTTACTTGAGAATTGTTCCATCCACTGTATTGTGACTTTCGCTCTTACATAAGAAACTTCACTAGCACCATCAACATGCCGTAACTGCAACAATTAATAATTCACTCAAAATACCATGGCTGCAACACTTCAGTAGAACTCGTAATACTGTGGCTGCAACAATTTATTTATTTATTTATTTATTTATTATAAATTTGTGCACACATACAGAGGTACAAAAAAAAATACAGATAAGAGCAGTATGCCAAAGCCACTTATCCACTTACCCACAGTTCTGTGACTAAGAAGTTCACAACTAACCTACAATGCCGTGGCTCCAACAATTCTAGGTCTCAGACCGCGGCCCGGTCTGAGACCAGGCCTCATGGCTCAGGGTCTGATCAACCAGGCTGTTACTGCTGGCCGCACGCAAGCTGACATACGAACTACAGCCCGGTTGGTCAGGTACTGACTTTAAGTGCCTGTCCAGTGCCTTCTTGAAGACAGCCAGGGGTCTATTGGTAATCCCCCTTATGTATGCTGGGAGGCAATTGAACAGTCTTGGGCCCCTGACACTTACTGTGTTGTCTCAGTGTACTCGTGGCACCCCTGCTTTTCATCAGGGGAATGTTGCATTCCTGATGAGCCTTTTGCTTTCATATGGAGTGATTTTCGTGTGCAGGTTTGGTACCAATCCCTCCAGGACCTTCCATGTGTGTATTATCATGTATCTCTCGCTTGCGTTCGAGGAATACAGATCAAGGACCTTCAACCGTTCCCAGTAATTTAGGTGCCTTATCGCACTTATGTTCCGTGAACGTTCTTTGTACACTCTCCAGGTCTGCAATGTCGCCAGCCTTGAAGGGGGCTGTTAGTGTACAGCAGTATTCCAGCCTAGAGAGCACAAGCGATTTGAAAATCATCATGGGCTTGGTGTCCCTACTTTTGAAGGTTCTCATTATCCATCCTATCATTTTCCTAGCAGATGAGGTAGATACATTGTTGTGGTCTTTGAAGGCGAGATCCTCTGACATTATCACTCCCAGGTCCTTCACATTACTTTTCCGCTCTTTTGTATGACTAGAATTTGTGGAATACCCTGACACAGTTTTAATTTCAAGTTTTCCATATCTGAGTAGTTGAAATTTCTCCTCGTTGAACTTCATATTGTTTTGAGTGGCCCATTGGAAGATTTGGTTGATGTCCGCTTGGAGTCTCGCAGTGTCTTCGATGGAGGTCACTGCCATGGTGATCCGGGTGTCGTCTGCAAAGGAAGACACGGAGCTATGGCTTACATCTGTCTGTCAGAAATGAGGATGAGGGATAGAATGGAAGAGAGTACTGTGCTTTGTGGAACAGCTTTTTGCCATGGCTGCCTGGGACTGTACTCTTTACTATTACTCTTTGTGTTCTATTTGTCAGGAAGTTTTAAATCCATATACCAACTTTTCCCATTATTCCTTTATCCCGCATTTTGTGTGATATTACACCATGGTCACACTTGTCACAAGCTTTTGCAAAGCCTGTGTATACTACATCTCTATTTTGTTTATCCTCTACAGTATCCAGGACCTTGTCATAGTGGTCCAGTAGCTGGGACAGGCAGGAACGACCTGCTTTAAACTCTTGTTGCCCTGGGTTGTGTAACTGATGGGTATCTAGGTGGTTGGCTATCTTGCTTCTTAGAACCTCTCAAAGATTTTTATGATATGGGATATTAATGCTATTGGTCTGTAGTTCTTTGCAGTTGCTTTACTGCCACCTTTGTGGAGTGGGGCTATGTCTGTTGTTTTTAGTGTGTGTGGGATGACCTGCATCCATGCTCCCTCTCCATAAAATGCTGAAGGCACGCGGTAGGGGCTTCTTGCAATTCTTGAACATGGAGTTCCACGAGTCTGGGGCAGAGTGCATGGGCATGTCAATAATTGCCTCTTCAAAGTCTTGTGGAGTTAGAATTAATATCCGAGATTTTTGGGATGACCAAATTTTGGGTTTCATAAAGAATTCATTTGGATTGTCGACCCTTAGTGGGCAGTGGCTCACTGAACACCGAGTCATATTGGGACTTTAGTATCTCACTCATTTCTTGGCTGTCATCTCGCCTAAGCAGAGGCCCAATACTGGATGTTGTTTTTCCCTTAGATTGGCATAAGAGAAAAAGTATTTTGGGTTTTTTAAATTTCCTTTACGGCTTTTAGTTCTTCCTGTGATTCTTGTCTCCTATAAGATTCCTTCAGCTTAAGTTCGATATTTGCAATTTCATTGACTAGTGCCTCCCTTCGCATTTCAGATATATTGACCCCAGTCAGCAGCTTTGTGACTCTTCGCCTTCGTCTGTATAGGGAACATCTCTCTCTTTCTAGTTTACATCTTACTTTTTCTTAATGGAACGTGTCTTGAGCAGATCTCAAGAACCACAGAATTCATTTTTCCCAAGGCGAATGTTCGGATCAGTGTTTTTCAGGATATCTTCCCAGCTTGTTTCATTTAGGACATGGTTTACTTGATCCCATTGTATGTTTGTTTTTATTATTGAAATTGAATTTCGTGAAGAGACCTTCATGACTGCTCACATTTTGCTGGTCTGGAGCCCTGTGCATAAATGTCTGTACCTCTGTTATGTTGTGATCTGTGTGAATTGTCTTTGATAGTTATATTACATATCAGATCGTCATTGTTAGTGAAGATGAGGTCCAGCGTATTTTCTAGTCTTGTAGGCTCTACTATTTGCTGGTTTAAGGTGAATTTGTTCGTGTGTGCCTGTATTTTCATCTGAGCTGCTAAAACATTGTTTGCTATACCCCTCCATTTTAGGTGTCTCAGGTTGAAATCCAACTCCCCCTTGTTTCCTGTTTAGTCTGTTGCATCAGAATAGGTTATAACCTGGGATCCATATTTCGTTGTCATAATGATCCTTTATGTGGGTCTCTGTGAATGCTGCAAACATTGCATTTGTCTCCGTGAGCAGTCCCTTGATGTAAGGAATTTTTTTTTTTTTTTTTTTTTGACGGCTTTAAACCCTGTACGTTTGCAAAGACAAATGTTGTATTGGTGGAATTTAGGGAGGTTTTATTTGCTGGCTGTAATATGTTGTTGTTCTGGGTAGAGGCCAATGTCTGTGCCTTTGCTCCAGAAGTGTTTTCAGGTGGTGTAGGATTATTGACATTTCTTGCCAGTCTTTTTTTCCCTTTTGGCCCTAAAAACTTGTCCCTGGAGAGGTTGTGGCTCCTCTCTTGTTTCCTGTAGTCTGGCTGGTCTGTCTTCTAGTCCCCTTTAGATGATGTGTCTGGCAGTATGCATTGTAGCATTTTCTTTCATGGATTGACGAGTGACAAATTTCTGGGTGAAATAAGTTGCAAGAAGGGAAGTTGCACTCTCCTGTTGTCATGTGGATGCGGCATTTTTTGGGATGGTCAAAGGTACATGTCTCGCTTGTTTTACCAATATACTGTGCCTGCAGATACCCAATGCATAGTATTTACATAGACTGTACTTCTGTTTGCTAGGATTTATTTTAGCTGCGTTCACTGCTGGTGCATTTATTTTTCCTGTTTCCTCAGTATCTTTTACCCCTGAATGGACATCAGTGCTTCCACCAGGTTTTGTTGGTAGTGTGTCAACACTATTTCCTGAGGCATCATCCCATTTTGATCCATCTCCAACAGTATCTCTATTTTGAACTTCTGTGGACTGAATAACGTTGTCTTCAGTGTCCTCCCGGATGACACTAGTACCCTCACGAGCGCTGTCTTCTAAGACATCACTAGGACCCTCTGGAGCACTTTCCTCCAGGACAACACTAGCACCCTCAACACTGTCCTCCAGGACAGCACTAGCACCCTCAGAAGAGATTTAGATTTTGCCACCGAAGTGGCTAGTTTATTGTGCACCCCATATCCATCCTGTGGACGGTAGCGCGAGAGCATATGGATACACAAAAGGCCCAGGAACTAGGCCCCAAAGGGTTAACAGGAATACATATGGATTTATATCTACATATCTATAGTTCACTTATCTGTTACAAGCAAATTTAGGAAATTTGCTTAGTATATCTGGTATCTTATTTTCATTAATAAGATATCTTGACATGTCACATAGGTTATTATACTGTCTCTGTATTCCTCAATAAGTGGACAATTAAGCACATAGTGTTCAAGAGAGTGACCATATGCCTGATCACATAATTTACATTTAGTTTGATCATCATCTGTGTGTCTCCCAAACTGCCAGAAGTACTTGTAACCAAGCCTAAGCCTGGCCACTACAACATCAGTCAGTCTGTTCACATTGCAAGTTGCTCCATAAACATACTTATCTACGTTCATGTTATCATAGTGGGTTATAGATCTACTCAGGCTTCTAACTGCATTCCTATAACAATCATTTTCATTATTTACTTCTCTCCTAATATTATTCCTAATGCTAGACACAGTTATACCAAAGTTATATTCTACATTCTCCTTCTCGATACTCTTCTTGGCTAACATATCAACTTTATCATGAAGGAGTAATCCAATGTGTGATGGGATCCATAGCAATTGTACATTAATTCCTTTGTCCCTAATTTTTGAGTATCTATACCTGGCTTCCCCAATGAGCATGTTGTTGGAGTCATTATATGAGTCAAGAGCCTTCAGTGATGACATAGAATCAGTAATGATGATAGAGTCAAGCTCAGTGTCATAGGTTAGCTTTAGCGCCATTAGGATTGCAAACAATTCAGTTTGCAGTGTAGACGCCCAGTTGTTAATTCTTATGCCTAACTCAACAAATTTATTATCGTTCTTAACTAGGGAGGTGGCAACAAGAGCAGATGCAGCCCTGCCAGAAGACTCCTGTTTAGATCCATCAGTGTATATAACTTGTGATAACTTGTTACTACCAGCTAGGTGAGAAATTTCTTCTTGAGCAGTTGCTCTAACAAGAGATTTAAGGAAGGGATTACTAGCAATGAGCTTCTTGGGAGGGACTTGTAGGTATGTGATATTAAATGAACACATCTTCCATGGAGGGGTGAAATGCTCTTGTTGCCTACAGTGATACAGTTCATGTAGGTTATAAAACTTAATGCAATTGCACGTTTTCACAATCCATTTAGATTTAATTACCACTATTGAGAGTGTTCTCACAGATCAAGTGGGCGACAGCCCCGTCCCTACCACTCGTCTTTTTTTCCCCAGTTATGATACCATGCTGACATGTCTTTCAAGAAGGATATTATATTGGTGTTCTTGTCTTTTAATATAGGTGTCATTTCCTCGTACAGATGTATCTCGTTTGGGCAGACCCAAAAACATCTCTAAGTTTGTCAAGTGTGGTCACTAGTTTAAAATCCCTGCATATACTATGGGACCATTGACCACAGAGGATACATTATCAACGACTCTGTTTTAATCCGGTCCGGTCATTGGTGTAAGTAGGGTTGGGGTGTTTGTTTTGTAAATTTATACCATATGTTATTTTATTTGTTTAGTGCTCTCATATTTACCTGTAAGGCCCTAGTGTGCAGAGGCCTGTTTAAGTTTTGGAGAGTACTTTTATGATGTTTTTGCTTGTTGGTAGGTTTAGCACTACCCCATGATTATAATAATTGCCTGTTAGTAGACAGACCAGCAGAAAGGGAAGAGGAGTATCATGGAGCCTCCCTAATTATAAATGTTTGTAAATTTTGTTACTAGTAGCAGTGAGCAAATGAGTGAGTCAAGGTGATGTTGGTTGTGGTAGAGCAGACTGTAGGTTGTATATACGTTACTATTAATTTATGTATATGCGAGTTTTTGTCCTTCCTTATAATGACTAATTAATATTCCACATTTAATGTGAAGGTGCAAGCTGGCCATAGTTGTTTCTTTTTCTATGTTAAATAATGTACATGCCTCTAGACAGGCAGGTCATTTACCCTTTAGGAGCCAGGACTTTTATTTGTTACACAAGCCAAAAGGCATAATTCTGAACATCTTGTTTTGCTGCTAATTTGTTGATTGCTTCAGTAACACTAACTATAAGAACTCCTTCTCAGAAGGCCATTTATAATAATACAGCACAAGACATTTTATTTGGTTTACAATTACCACATCACTGACAAAACCATTTAATGTAAATAAATTTCACTCTTTAATTTCTTGTTTACAAATTTTCATAAATCTAGCAGTGGTGGTGCTACAGGAAAACCTCGTTCATATGGCTTTAAATATAGCACAGATCGTACTTTCTTTATGCAACTGTTGTATGAAAATGACTCACGAAATCGTAATGACACAAGTTTTGAGACTCTGATAGTGGGTTCTATCCCCACCCATGGTATGGATTGTATGAAAATGGCGATAACAGCGGTAAGAGCACTGAACATAATGACCAATGGCTCTTAAAGCCAAGAAAAATGTTGAACACTGAAAATAAGTGTATACACCGGTCCCTTCTTTACACACTATGTTATGTATGATAATCTATGTAACTGTATTTGTGTATACCTGAATAAATTTACATACCCTTTGTATATGCAAGTCAGGTGTTTGCGTAAAATCTCTAATTAGTATTTTATTAAATGTAAACCACACAATAACCAAAATCTATAAACCCCACATTGAAATCCTTATAGAGAATAAACTTTGATATTAACATTGTCCCTTGTCCCACAGGTTTTGACGGCGGTGAACGTGCAGTACGCGGCTCTGGCCCGCTACCAGGACGTGGACGGCTCCTTCAGGATGTGGCCTGAGTCTGAGCCCAGTGTATGGCTCACAGCTTATGCTCTCAGGACACTCTGGTTGGCCAGTTTCCAAGTATGTTCCTGTCAGTGTCCCTCACATACATTCTAGATGTACCCATGGAAAAATATAGGGATATGTGAAGCAAATAAAATTATTTTTGGATTCAGTGACGAGAGTAACTGCCAAGGCAGGATCCACAAGGGGTGAGTGGGAAGCGGGGATGGGGGAAGAATGGTGGGAGGAGAGGAAGGGTTAAAGTGTAAAGAAAGAGCCAGGTCTAGACCCAGTAACAACTATGTCAATAACGCCAGTTCATGTTAGGTCGGGCTTTGGAGGACAGGTGGCCACCAGTACACGACGCTGTCCCTGTTCACCTAAGAGTAAGTAGGTACCTGGTGTTGGCACACTGTTGTGGGTCACATCCTGGGGGACAGGATTAAAGAAACCCAATGGAAATAAATCTCCAATGACACACTTGACTAGGTGGTTAACCCTCTTCCAAGACAATTTTTTTTTTTGTCTAGTGTAGTTTTATTTTTTCATCAAAACATTTGCTTCTACATTCCATCTAGGGCTTTTATGCAACATAGAATTAACAACAAACCCATTTGAATGTGGCAGGACTGGGAGAACCTAATCTACATCGACCCCGTGGTGATCAACTCGGCGGCCAAGTGGTTGCTGCATTACCAGACCTCGATGGGTGCCTTCACTGAGACTCCTAACTACACCCACCCACTCGACTCAAAGAGCAACCCCACTGTTAGTACTACAACCTTTTGTTACTTATACATTTGAGAGCTTTATTATGCGTCCCTTACTCGTCTAGTGGGAAGTAGTCAAAAGATGATAGATAGTAGAAATTTTACAACCTGCCAAGTGATTTTATTCTAAGAGGTAATGGAGATAAATGTGATCCTTCACTGACAATGTTTTGCCCACACAATGGGCTTTGTCATGTCACAAAATGATGGCATGTGGAGAGTTGATGGTAATTAGTGATTTTTTCCATATATTGAATTTTTTTAACTTTACAGAAATGTTTGCTATACTATTTTAATTTTATTTTGTATTAGTTTGTTTTGCAGAATACTAAAAATGAAAGTTGCCTTCATCATAGTGAAGAGTCAAAAAATACATGTAGGTGTTATACTCGCTGACGTAGGTTTTAACTCGCGTTCAAAAGCAGGTGTTTCAAATTAATTTGGGATGCTGAATACAAATCTGAATTAGTTTTGCTCCAAAACTTATACTTTTTGTGAAGCACAAAGGCTCACTTTTTTTTTAGGCTACTGTTATTAACAGTATGTTGGGGGCAAGAACTAAAGTCTACAGTCTAAGACACGAGCAACACCTGTGGTCAGTTTTGGTCTAGAATGTTGTCCGTGTTAAGCACTATATATTTAAGTATATACAACCTCTCCTCACTTAGTGACATACTCGTTTACTGACTCCTCAGACTTGTAACAAGCTCACGACCAGTGTTCGTACCTTAATAATGTATAATAGAGCAGATATCCTTTATGTTCATTTCAATGTACAGTACACTACTTTATAAACATTTAAAAATATACCAGAAATGTTATAAATGGTGCAAAGGTAACAGTAAAACAATATTTCTTCTTCTTTCAACGTACCAGCCGTATCCCACCGAGGCGGGGTGGCCCAAAAGGAAAAACGAAAGTTTCTCCTTTCAAATTTAGTAATATATACAGGAGAAGGGGTTACTAGCCCCTTGCTCCCGGCATTTTAGTCGCCTCTTATAACACGCATGGCTTACGGAGGAAGAATTCTGTTCCACTTCCCCATGGAGATAAGAGGAAACAGACAAGAACAAGAACTAGAAAGAAAATAGAAGAAAACCCAGATGGGTGTGTATATATGTTTGTACATGTATGTGTAGTGTGACCTAAGTGTAAGTAGAAGTAGCAAGACGTACCTGAAATCTTGCATGTTTGAGACAGAAAAAAGGACACCAGCAATCCTACCATCATGTAAAACAATTACAGGCTTCCGTTTTCACTCACTTGGCAGGACGGTAGTACCTCCCTGGGCGGTTGCTGTCTACCAACCTACTACCTAGAATATTTATTTATTTTTTTATTTGGACATGATACACAATTGTACAAAGAAATATAGTGATTGGGTGTACATGCCAAAAGCCCCTTGTATGCAGAGCATTATGGGCAGGCTTAAAATTAACTTAAGATTAACTAAGCAATGATATATTGTGGTAAAAATTGAAGTAAACAAATTACAACATGAAGTACAAAAGAGTATTTCAGATAAGCAATAAAGTTGTACAAATTTGTAGCATAACAATGTATAATATAGTCGAAACAGATAGAGTAAAATTAATTATTTATTGTGCAAAAACAGGTCATATGGTCATTAGATGAGTTATTGTGCATTCAAGAGAATGGAGTATTCTATTAGGTAATGTAATTAAAAAAAGTTTGATAGGATCACAGGTTATACATTTATGAGATTCAGTTATTCAGTATTTATTTAGTTGTGGTTGAGTAAGTGGTTTTTAAGAAGTCTTGAATTGATAAACAGTCAGTTTCTTTTATTATTTTTTTTTTTTTTATTATCACACCGGCCGATTCCCACCAAGGCAGGGTGGCCCGAAAAAGAAAAACTTTCACCATCATTCACTCCATCACTGTCTTGCCAGAAGGGTGCTTTACACTACAGTTTTTAAACTGCAACATTAACACCCCTCCTTCAGAGTGCAGGCACTGTACTTCCCATCTCCAGGACTCAAGTCCGGCCTGCCGGTTTCCCTGAATCCCTTCATAAATGTTACTTTGCTCACACTCCAACAGCACGTCAAGTATTAAAAACCATTTGTCTCCATTCACTCCTATCAAACACGCTCACGCATGCCTGCTGGAAGTCCAAGCCCCTCGCACACAAAACCTCCTTTACCCCCTCCCTCCAACCCTTCCTAGGCCGACCCCTACCCCGCCTTCCTTCCACTACAGACTGATACACTCTTGAAGTCATTCTGTTTCGCTCCATTCTCTCTACATGTCCGAACCACCTCAACAACCCTTCCTCAGCCCTCTGGACAACAGTTTTGGTAATCCCGCACCTCCTCCTAACTTCCAAACTACGAATTCTCTGCATTATATTCACACCACACATTGCCCTCAGACATGACATCTCCACTGCCTCCAGCCTTCTCCTCGCTGCAACATTCATCACCCACGCTTCACACCCATATAAGAGCGTTGGTAAAACTATACTCTCATACATTCCCCTCTTTGCCTCCAAGGACAAAGTTCTTTGTCTCCACAGACTCCTAAGTGCACCACTCACTCTTTTTCCCTCATCAATTCTATGATTCACCTCATCTTTCATAGACCCATCCGCTGACACGTCCACTCCCAAATATCTGAATACGTTCACCTCCTCCATACTCTCTCCCTCCAATCTGATATTCAATCTTTCATCACCTAATCTTTTTGTTATCCTCATAACCTTACTCTTTCCTGTATTCACCTTTAATTTTCTTCTTTTGCACACCCTACCAAATTCATCCACCAATCTCTGCAACTTCTCTTCAGAATCTCCCAAGAGCACAGTGTCATCGGCAAAGAGCAGCTGTGACAACTCCCACTTTGTGTGTGATTCTTTATCTTTTAACTCCACGCCTCTTGCCAAGACCCTCGCATTTACTTCTCTTACAACCCCATCTATAAATATATTAAACAACCACGGTGACATCACACATCCTTGTCTAAGGCCTACTTTTACTGGGAAAAAATTTCCCTCTTTCCTACATACTCTAACTTGAGCCTCACTATCCTCGTAAAAACTCTTCACTGCTTTCAGTAACCTACCTCCTACACCATACACTTGCAACATCTGCCACATTGCCCCCCTATCCACCCTGTCATACGCCTTTTCCAAATCCATAAATGCCACAAAGACCTCTTTAGCCTTATCTAAATACTGTTCACTTATATGTTTCACTGTAAACACCTGGTCCACACACCCCCTACCTTTCCTAAAGCCTCCTTGTTCATCTGCTATCCTATTCTCCGTCTTACTCTTAATTCTTTCAATTATAACTCTACCATACACTTTACCAGGTACACTCAACAGACTTATCCCCCTATAATTTTTGCACTCTCTTTTATCCCCTTTGCCTTTATACAAAGGAACTATGCATGCTCTCTGCCAATCCCTAGGTACCTTACCCTCTTCCATACATTTATTAAATAATTGCACCAACCACTCCAAAACTATATCCCCACCTGCTTTTAACATTTCTATCTTTATCCCATCAATCCCGGCTGCCTTACCCCCTTTCATTTTACCTACTGCCTCACGAACTTCCCCCACACTCACAACTGGCTCTTCCTCACTCCTACAAGATGTTATTCCTCCTTGCCCTATACACGAAATCACAGCTTCCCTATCTTCATCAACATTTAACAATTCCTCAAAATATTCCTTCCATCTTCCCAATACCTCTACCTCTCCATTTAATAACTCTCCTCTCCTATTTTTAACTGACAAATCCATTTGTTCTCTAGGCTTTCTTAACTTGTTAATCTCACTCCAAAACTTTTTCTTATTTTCAACAAAATTTGTTGATAACATCTCACCCACTCTCTCATTTGCTCTCTTTTTACATTGCTTCACCACTCTCTTAACTTCTCTCTTTTTCTCCATATACTCTTCCCTCCTTGCATCACTTCTACTTTGTAAAAACTTCTCATATGCTAACTTTTTCTCCCTTACTACTCTCTTTACATCATCATTCCACCAATCGCTCCTCTTCCCTCCTGCACCCACTTTCCTGTAACCACAAACTTCTGCTGAACACTCTAACACAGATTTTTGGGCCTTTTATGTGAATTGAGTTTTTACATAGTGTGAGATGGACACTGGAAACATCAAAGAGTGATCTGTGCCTTGTGTTATGGTCGTGTGTTCTGTTGAGGTTGGTAAGGAGAAGTTTGAGGGGAGGGTTTATATTTGAGTTTAGTGTTTTATGCATGTAGTAGGCACAATAATAAGTATGGATGTTTTGTACTGTGAGTAAGTTTAGAGTTTTGAATATTGGAGTATGCTGCCTGAAGTGGGAATTTATCATTCTGACTAGAGCCTATACTGCACTTTGGATGTACAGCCTGGAGAGAGTTCCAGGGGTCAGTGCCCCCGCAGCCCGGTCTGTGACCTTTTGTTGGGTAATTAATGATGAGATGATTTATTGTTGTTGAGCCCCATGCACAAATTCCATAGGTGAGATAGGAGTAAATGAGCGAGTGATATAGGGCCAGGAGGGCTGACTGTGGAACATAGTATCGTATCTTTGATAGTATGCCTACGGTCTTGGAGATTTTCTTGGAAATTTGTTGTATGTGTTTGAAATCTGAGTCTATTATCAAGGTGGATTCCTAAGAATTTTCCCTCTGTGAGCTTTGTGATAGGTGATCCGTTTATCATTATGTTAAGAGGAACATTTGTAGTTCTGTTCCCAAACTGAATGTAGTAGGTTTTGTCAATATTGAGAGTAAGTTTGTTAATCATCATCCATGGTTGACACACTACCATTATAGTATGCTCCTCGCTTAGCAATGAATTCGTTTAACAACATGGTCTTAGGAACAGAACTTCGTTGTTAAGTGAGAAGAGGCTATTTTATTTTACTTTTATCACCGTAAATTTTACAATAAGATTGCTACTTTTTTTTTATCTACACCATCATTATAACCTTTAAATATTTTCTCCACATCCATCCTTCAAATCAACATTAACTTTTTCTTCAAACAATTACCAACCCATATACTTCAGTATGCTTTATTACAACCTATTAAACTTATTACTTTTTAACCGAGCCCCTGCTACTGTGTCCCTCGATGATATTGAGTATATTTTGACATGTTGCATATCAATATTACTTTTGTGACGCCCTTGTTGTCTCTCCCTGACAGCCTGCTTACCAGCTGGAGCGGGATGGCTACAAGAACGTATCCTTAACGGCGCAGGTGGTGCTTGCTCTTGTTGACATCCTTCCTGGCCTCCATGGAAATGTTAGGGCTAAAGTCAACATAGCCAAAGCCAATGCCATTGCGTATGTATCCTTCTCCAACCCATTATTGTTAAATATTACTTTTTTGATGTTTTTCTGTTAGTATTTTGACGTTGTGCTTAACATCAGTTTTTATGTCCATTTTTTCTTCTAATCTCTTATTTTAAGTTATGGTAGCTCAATAAATTTTAAGTTAGGTTAAGTTAGGCTTCACTAACTTTGATAAAGCACATATTTAAGCACAAATTAGCAGATAAAAAAAAAAGCCATCAGTACTGACAACAAAATGGCTGGGGAAAAATAGGACTTGTTGTAAATTAGTTTTACTTTTCTTGGGGTGAGAACTTTCCTCTGTCAAAGCTACTGCTGGAGTTATCTGGTCAAAGTTGTGTGGCCTTGGATCAAGGTCAGGTAAAGGCCATGATCATGGAAAAGACTAGAGGTAATTCAGAGAAACTTAAAGTAGGGGAAAATATATTTTATGATGTAACTCCCACAAGAATGCATTATCAAATACTATCCAGAAAAAAATAGTTTTTAATTTTACTTTGTGAAACTTTACTCTGGGTGAAAGTTGAAAGTCATAAAATGGTTTGTTTCCTGATTAAAGTACTGTATCTTTGAATAACCACTTGTTGGGTTATTTCATTGTCTATCTAATAGATTAGTCAGGATTCTTTGTCATGGTTAACCTGGTAAGTTAATACTCTTACAATAAAGCAAGATTCAGGGCCAGCATCATGGTGTTGGTTCCTTGCCAGCAGTTACATGATTACATGTTGGATTTTATTAGCATTTACCCTGATTTACTAAGTGGTTGTGGTGGGAGGGAGGAAAGAGAAGTGAGAAATACAGGTCTCATACCAAGTTGAATTACATGGTTTGCAGAACAGAATTGTTCAGTTATTACAGGTCAGCCATCACTAATCTGGCAATCAGTTATCCGGTACTGATTTCATCTAGCATAATTTCAAATTTCATCATTGTACTGGTTCAGAAATTGTGCAGATGGTTGTAACTCCACAGCAGCAAGCCAGTGGAGGGGAAAGCAGTGATGAAAATGAGGAAGATGTAGCAGAAAGTCTCATTTGATAGGTTAATTTAGTTGACAGGTGAACTGCTAAAAGGTTTAGAGCAACGCAGTTTTATAAGTGAACAAGAAATAATGAACGTTTATGTGCTGCAGGATAAACTAATCAAAAAGGCCAAAATATATGAAACGGTTCAACTTGGATAGCTTTATTAAAGTGTACTCTAACCTAACCACTCTGTAATCTGGCAAAGTCACTAATCCGACACACTACAGGTCCCAACAATGCCGGATTAGTGATGGTCATTCTGTACTTGATTTCAACATTAGTTGCAAAAGATCATTATTAATATGCACCAATTATTATAAATTTTCTGCTATATTTAAATTTACTGTTATTACCAGTTTACCGTGGTTATGATTAAACGTTTGTCAAATTGTTGATATCGTAGTCACATATAACCAAGATTATAATTAGCATCAAATTTTGATGAAAGGGGAAACCTTCCCCCTATGTATGCCAAGAAATGAGTTGCAGAATTAGTTTAGGGCACAGACATCACCCACCAGTGTCGGATATTCCCATAGGGGAAAGGTGTTTTGTTGTCAGCTCCTCGACACTTTTTTTTCTATTATGTAGTATATCGTTTTACTGAGTTTTTATTATTATAAAACTTTCAAGTTGAAAGCAATTGAAATGTACTGAATTTTTAAGAGTAAAAATTTCACCACAGAAGCCCATAAGAATTCTGCAGTAAACCCAGTCATGATATACTGATGATCATTGACCAGCCACTGTACAATAATAATATAATTTAAAATCGCTCCTGACCATAGTTTTTTTTTTGTTGTTGCTAATTTGCACTTCTTACCTTTGAGTTCATAAGTCTCACTATTGTTTGTTGTGTGCAGGTACCTGGAGATGGAGCTGGAGAGCTTGCATGACCCCTACGATGTTGCACTGGTTGCCTGGGCACTCACTAAGGCTGACTCCACAAAGAAGGAAGCTGCCTTCGGAATACTAGACTCCATGAAGAGGGTGGAGAGTAAGTCACTAGGCAGGAACACACACTTGTGAGAAAAAGCAATATAAACAGTGTGCATTAAAGTCGTACATGAATAGTATACAATACCGACAAGATGAAAATTAGTCACGTGCAACATCTAGGTATCTTTATTGTAGATGTTTTGCCATCCAGTGGCTTTATCGATGCAAATTCTGGAGCACAGGCAAGAAGGCTGGCGCCTTCTTGCTTGTGCTCCAGAATCTTCATGACTATGGTGCTCTTCACACCAACTCCAAGGCTGAGGGATGGAGTACCTCATCTTTTGTGTATACTGTAGTTCCTCTGTCTTCCAATTTTTTTTTTTTTTTTCAACAAGTCGGCCGTCTCCCACCGAGGCAGGGTGACCCAAAAAAGAAAGAAAATCCCCAAAAAGAAAATACTTTCATCATTCAACACTTTCACCACACTCACACATTATCACTGCTTTTGCAGAGGTGCTCAGAATACAACAGTTTAGAAGCATATACGTATAAAGATACACAACATATCCCTCCAAACTGCCAATATCCCAAACCCCTCCTTTAAAGTACAGGCATTGTACTTCCCATTTCCAGGACTCAAGTCCGACTATATGAAAATAACCGGTTTCCCTGAATCCCTTCACTAAATATTACCCTGCTCACACTCCAACAGATCGTCAGGTCCCAAGTATCATTAGTCTCCATTCACTCCTATCTAACACGCTCATGCACGCTTGCTGGAAGTCCAATCCCCTTGCCCACAAAACCTCCTTTACCCCCTCTTTCCAACCCTTTCGAGGACGACCCCTACCCCTCCTTCCTTCCCCTATAGATTTATATACTTTCCATGTCATTCTACTTTGATCCTTTCTCTCTAAATGACCAAACCACCTTAACAACCCCTCTTCTGCCCTCTGACTAATGCTTTTATTAACTCCACACCTTCTCCTAATTTCCACACTCCGAATTTTCTGTATAATATTTACACCACACATTGCCCTTAGACAGGACATCTCCACTGCCTCCAACCGTCTCCTCGCTGCTACATTTACCACCCAAGCTTCACATCCATATAAGAGTGTTGGTACTACTATACTTTCATATATTCCCTTCTTTGCCTCCATAGATAACGTTTTTTGACTCCACATATACCTCAACGCACCACTCGCCTTTTTTCCCTCATCAATTCTATGATTAACCTCATCCTTCATAAACCCATCTGCTGACACGTCAACTCCCAAGTATCTGAAAACATTCACTTCTTCCATACTCCTCCTCCCCAATTTGATATCCAATTTTTCTTTATCTAAATCATTTGATACCCTCATCACCTTACTCTTTTCTATGTTCACTTTCAACTTTCTACCTTTACACACATTCTCAAACTCATCCACTAACCTTTGCAATTTTTCTTTAGAATCTCCCATAAGCACAGTATCATCAGCAAAAAGTAACTGTGTCAGTTCCCATTTTGAATTTGATTCCCCATAATTTAATCCCACCCCTCTCCCGAACACCCTAGCATTTACTTCTTTTACAACCCCATCTATAAATATATTAAACAACCATGGTGACATTACACATCCCTATCTAAGACCTACTTTTACCGGGAAGTATTCTCCCTCTCTTCTACATATCCTAACCTGAGCCTCACTATCCTCATTAAAGGTCTTTACAGCATTTAGCAACTTACCACCTATTCCATATACTTGCAACATCTGCCACATTGCTCATGTATCCACTCTATCATATGCCTTTTCTAAATCCATAAATGCAATAAAAACTTCCCTACCTTTATCCAAATACTGTTCACATATATGCTTCAATGTAAAGACTTGATCTACACATCCCCTACCCACTCTGAAGCCTCCCTGCTCATCCGCAATCCTACATTCTGTCTTACCTCTAATTCTTTCAATTATAACCCTACCATATACTTTTCCTGGTATACTCAGTAAACTTATTCCTCTATAATATTTAGTCTCTTTTGTCCCCTTTCCCTTTATATAAAGGGACTATACATGCTCTCTGCCAATCCCTAGGTACCTTCCCTTCTTTCATACATTTATTAAACAAAAGTACCAACCACTCCAACACTATATCCCCCCCTGCTTTTAACATTTCTGTCATGATCCCATCAGTTCCAGCTGCTTTACCCCCTTTCATTCTACGTAATGCCTCACGTACCTCCACCACACTTACATTCTGCTCTTCTTCACTCCTAAAAGATGGTATACCTCCCTGGCCAGTGCATGAAATTACCGCCTCCCTTTCTTCCTCAACATTTAAAAGTTCCTCAAAATATTCTCACCATCTACCTAATACCTCCCTCTCCCCATCTACTAACTCCTCTACTCTGTTTTTAACTGACAAATCCATACTTTCCCTAGGCTTTCTTAACTTGTTTAACTCACCTCCAAAATTTTTTCTTATTTTCATTAAAATTTCTTGACAGTGCCTCTCCCACTCTTTCATCTGCTCTCCTTTTGCACTTTCTCACCACTCTCTTCACCTTTCTTTTACTCTCCATATACTCTGCTCTTCTTATAACACTTCTGCTTTGTAAAAACCTCTCGCAAGCTACCTTTTTCTCTTTTATCACACCCTTTACTTCATCATTCCACCAATCACTCCTCTTTCCTCCTGCCCCCACCCTCCTATAACCACAAACTTCTGCCCCACATTCTAATACTGCATTTTTAAAACTATTCCAACCCTCTTCAACCCCCCCCACTACTCATCTTTGCACTAGCCCACCTTTCTGCCAATAGTCGCTTATATCTCGCCCGAACTTCCTCCTCCCTTAGTTTATACACTTTCACCTCCCTCTTACTTGTTGTTGCCACCTTCCTCTTTTCCCATCTACCTCTTACTCTAACTGTAGCTACAACTAAATAATGATCCGATATATCAGTTGCCCCTCTATAAACATGTACTTCCTGGAGCCTACCCATCAACCTTTTATCCACCAATACATAATCTAACAAACCACTTTCATTATGTGATACATCATACCTTGTATATTTATTTATCCTCTTTTTCATAAAATATGTACAGTGGACCCCCGGTTAACGATTTTAATCCGTGCAAGAGGGCTCATCGTTATGCGAAATAATCGTTATGCGAATGAATTTTCCCCATAAGAAATAATGGAAATAAAATTAATCCGTGCAAGATGCCCAAAAGTATGAAAAAAATTTTTTTTTACCACATGAAATGTTAATTTTAATACACACAAACTGAAAAAGGCATGCACAATTACATGACACTTACTTTTATTGAAGATCTGGTGATGATTGATGGGATGGGAGGAGGGGAGAGCATTATCTTCTTACTGTTTAGAAGGGGAATCCCCTTCCATTAGGACTTGAGGTAGCAAGTCCTTTTCTGGGGTTACTTCCCTTCTTCTTTTAATGCCACTAGGACCAGCTTGAGTCACTGGACCTCTGTCGCACAACAAATCTGTCCATAGAGCTCTGTACCTCCCGTTCCTTCAAGACTTTCCTAAAATGGGCCATAACATTGTCATTGAAATAGTCACCAGCACGGCTTGCAACAGCTGTGTCAGGGTGATTTTCATCTATAAAGGTTTGCAGTTCAACCCACTGTGCACACATTTCCTTAATCTTTGAAGTAGGCACAATGGATTCCACAACTGGCATAGGCTTCTCAGGGTTAGCCCCAAACCCTTCAAAATCTTTCTTAATTTCCATACTAATTCTCACCCTTTTTACCACAGGGTTGGCACTAGAAGCTTTCTTGGGGCCCATGGTCACTTATTTTCCAGAAACAGCACCGAAAACACTGTAATAATACGAAATATTCCGAGTGTATGCTTGGATGTTACCGCGGAGGCTGGCGGGTAAACAATGGGACGGCCGGCACATGTGAGGGCACATTGGACGCGTCTCGGACGAAAATCGGTAAGCGGGTTTTTAATCGGTATGCGCGGCAAAAATTTTGCGATAAAAGTAATCGTTATGCGGAAAAATCGCTATGTGATGCCATCGTTATGCGGGGGTCCACTGTATTACTTATTACCAAATTTCTTTCTACACATAGCTCAATTACAGGCTCCCCATTTACATTTACCCCTGGCACCCCAAATTTACCTACTACTCCCTCCATAACATTTTTACCCACTTTAGCATTGAAATCCCCAACCACCATTACTCTCACACTTGATTCAAAACTCCCCACACATTCACTCAACATTTCCCAGAATCTCTCTCTCTCTCCTCTACACTTCTCTCTTCTCCAGGTGCCTACACGCTTACTATAAGATAAGATAAGATTTCGTTCGGATTTTTAACCCCGGAGGGTTAGCCACCCAGGATAACCCAAGAAAGTCAGTGCGTCATCGAGGACTGTCTAACTTATTTCCATTGGGGTCCTTAATCTTGTCCCCCAGGATGCGACCCACACCAGTCGACTAACACCCAGGTACCTATTTGCTGCTAGGTGAACAGGACAATAGGTGTAAGGAAACGTGTCGGAATTTCCACCCGCCGAGAATCGAACCCGGGCCCTCCGTGTGTGAAGCGGGAGCTTTAGCCACCAGACCACCGGGCCACCAGACCAGACCTCCGGACCACCCACTTTTCACATCCAATCTTTATTTTACTCCACATAATCCTTGAATTTATACATTTGTAGTCCCTCTTTTCCTGCCATAGCTTATCCTTCAACATTATTGCTACTCCTTCTTTAGCTCTAACTCTGTTTGAAACCCCTGACCTAATCCCATTTATTCCTCTCCATTGAAACTCTCCCACCCCTTTCAGCTTTGTTTCACTTAAAGCCAAGACATCCAGTTTCTTCTCATTCATAACATCCACAATCATCTCTTTCTTATCATTTGCACAACATCCACGCACATTCAGACTTCCCACTTTGACAATTTTCTTCTTATTCTTTTTAGTAATCTTACAGGAAAAGGGGTTACTAGCCCATTGTTTCCGGCATTTTAGTTGACTTTTACAACATGCATGGCTTACGGAGGAAAGATTCTTATTCCACTTCCCCATGGATATAAAAGGAAAAGTAATAAGACCAAGAACTATTAAGATAAAATCAAAGAAAACTCAGATGAGTGTTTATAAATAAACGTGTACATGTATGTGTAGTGTGACCTAAGTGTAAGTAGAAGTAGCAAGACATGCCTGTAATCTTGCATATTTATGAGACAGACAAAAGACACCAGCAATCCTACCATCATGTAAAACAATTACAGGCTTTCGTTTTACACTCACTTGGCAGGACGGTAGTACCTCCCTGGGTGGTTGCTAAAGCCACTGGTTGGTGAAACGTCTGCAATAAAGATATCCAGATATTGCATATGTCTAATTTGCATTAAAGTCTATAGTATACAGTTATGGCATAGAGTACCATCCATTATACAAATCTGTTTGCCATGACTGTAAGAAATTTTATCCTTGAGGCTTCCCAGTCAAAGCAACCACTAGAAACTGGAATTCTCATTCACTTTCTAGTCGGTTAGTTTACATAAGAATGGTGGAACACTGAAGCAGGCCTACTGGCCCATACCAGGCAGGTCCTTATCAAAACCTCTCATATGTATCACAGCCACATCTTCCTGCATTTTTATGTCTATACCGAAAAATAATTTTCACATAAATTTCCTATTTGAATTTCGGCGAGATTTATTTCTGTGTCTTATCATTTAACATGAGCAGCAGAACCAAGAAATATAAAGAATAAAAAGTCATAATACAGTGGCTGGAACAATACACAAATAACCAGCACATGGTAGACTGAAATTTGACTATATTTCGGTCCAACTAGGACCATTAACTAGTGCAACTAATATGACATTAGTTTGATAATTTTTGCATCTGCCAAACTGCCAGAAGTACTTGTAACCAAGCCAAATCTTATATACTGCAACACCAGTCAGTCTGTTCACATTGCAAGTTGCTCTGTGTTCATGTTATCAAAGTGAATGATACATCTTATTCTTCTAGCCGCATTCCTATGACACTGAATTTCATTATTTACTTCTTCCAATGTTATTCCTGACGAAAGCCATAGAAATACCAAAATTAAATTCTGTATTTTCCTTCAGGGTACTTTCTTTGGTTAATTTATCAACCTTATTATGAAGGAATAATTCAGTGTGCAATGTAATCCATAAAAATTATACACAAATTTCTTTTTCCCTCTTTTTAGTGTCAATACCCTGATTACAAGGTGCTCAGTATATTAATTAAAATGCACTAGTCTCTTCATGTATATTGTCTTGTTCACAATTTTCCCATCAAAATTTTAACATTTGAATATTTCACCAGATGGTAAGATCTATTGGTCTCGTGAGCCAATAGATTTCAACCCCCTCGTATATGAGGACAGTCAGAAGCCCTACATTCGACCAAAGGACGACCAGAAGTGGGATGCTCATGCGGTGGAGACCACTTCTTATGCACTGCTCGTATATATAGCCAGGGAGGGGATTGGCATCATTCAGGAGAACATTGTCAGGTTCTTTGCAGTAATGAGGGAGATTGATGGAGGTCTCATCTCTACCTTGGTGAGAAATCTTTCTGTATTTTGCACATTACCCCTTTCCCAACCCTGAAGTGTTAACTCTATACTTAATAATGCACGATAACAACCATGGGATCTGTGTAGCTGAGGCCCATTAGTTATTCATATTGCTGTATACACTGTACAGGTAAAGAGAATTGTGAAAATGTCAATTTATTTTTCTCAACAGGACAGTGTGGCGGCAATGGAGGCACTAGTGGAGTACTCCTATCGTGCAAGACTTCGAGATGTGACAGACATGAGGGTGACCCTTGAACACTCCGCTAATCCTAATTTCACTGTCGATGTTTACCTTGGCGACTCCCTTGACCTCGCCGCCATGAGATCCTTTGATGTGAGTTCCCCCCAACGTTTTGCGGCACTGTGATTTTATTGTTGGTCGTAGGTGAATTTTTTTTTCTCTCTCTCTTCAACAAGTCGGCCATCTCCCACCAAGGCAGGGTGACCCAAATAGAAAGAAAATCCCCAAAAAGAAAATACTTTCATCATTCAACACTTTCACCTCACTTGCACATAATCACTGTTTTTGCAGAGGTGCCCAGAATACAACAGCTTAGAAGCATATATGTACGTATAAAGATGCACATGTCCCTCCAAACTGCAAATATTCCGAACCCCTCCTTTAGAGTGCAGGCATTATACTTCCCATTTCCAGGACTCAAGTCCGGCTATATAAAAATAACCGGTTTCCCCAAATCCCTTCACTAAATATTACCCTCCTCGCACTCCAACAGCTCGTCAGGTCCCAAATAACATTCGTCTCCATTCACTCCTATCGAACATGCTCACGCACGCTTGCTGGAAGTCCAAGCCCCTCACCCACAAAACCTCCTTTACCCCTTCCAACCTTTTCGAGGACGACCCCTACCCTGCCTTACTTCCTCTACAGATTTACATGCTCTCCATGTCATTCTACTTTGATCCATTCTCTCGAAATGACTGAACCACCTCAATAACCCCTCTTCAGCCCTCTGACTAATACTTTCATTAACTCTACACCTAATTTCCACACTCTGAATTTTCTGCATAATATTTACACCACACATTGCCCTTAGACAGGACATCTCCACTGCCTCCAACCTCCTCCTCACTGCAGTATTTACAATCCAAGCTTCACACCCATATAAGAGTGTTGGTACTACTATACTTTCATACATTTCCTTCTTTGCCTCCATAGGTAATGTTTTTTGTCTCCACATATCTCAACGCACCACTCGCCTTTTTTCCCTCAATTCTATGATTAACCTCATCCTTCATAAATCCATCCTCTGACACGTCAACTCCCAAATATCTGAAAACATTCACTTCTTCCATACTCCTCCTCCCCAATTTGATATCCAGTTTTTCTTTACCTAAATCATTTGATACCCTCATCACCTTACTCTTTTCTATGTTCACTTTCAACTTTTTACCTTTACACACACACCCAAACTCGTCCACTAACCTTTGCAATTTTTCTTTAGAATCTCCCATAAGCACAGTGTCATCAGCAAAAAGTAACTGTTATATGTATCTGTATGTATTCCTGATGCATCTGGTAGGTGTGTGTTTGTGTGTGTGTTTTTCAGATAATACAGTGAATTGTCTGTTCAGATCTCTGCATATTTTCTTTCATCTTTCTTACTTATTACTTGGTCCTTTACATTCTTGTACACGCCGTTTTGTTTTGAATTTTGCCTCTTTGTTTTCGTGTACATGTGACATCACTCTTGCCATCGTGAAAATCAGTTCGTGTATGGTCAGATCTTCTGCTTATGTATGTAGTATGTATATATGCATGCTTTGTGTGTGTGTGTGTGTGTGTGTGTGTGTGTGTGTGTGTACCTAAGAAAGTGTATATAGAGCTAGACCATTAAGTTAACATATACACATGCTTGTATTTGTACAGTTGGAAAACATCTGGGGCCACATTAGTGTAGTAGGTCATGGATCAGGGCAAGCATTAGTGCAGTTAGACTACAGCTACGGTGTGGACTACGAGCCTCTGCTAGACTATCCACCTGTGAATGCCTTTGACTTCACCGTAGTCTCCAAGTTCTCAGGAAGAAACAACTCTCATCTGGAGATCACCACCTGTCAGAGGTAGGACCATGTATACACTTACGTTTTGTCCATGTTTGTGATTTTTGTTAACTCATTCTTTTTGTTTAAGATTTAGAAAGTTCTTTCATTGTATACCTGGAGAGGATTTTGGGGGTCATTGCCCCTGCAATGTGGTATGTGACCAGGCCTCATGGTGGATTAGGGCCTGATCAACCAGGCTGTTACTATTGGCCACATGTAAACAGACGTACAAATCTCAGCCTGGCTGGTCAGGTACTGACTTTAGGTGCCTATCCAATGACTTCTTGAGGGTAGTGTTGGAGCGGATTTCCAGTTCTTGTTTATGAAGAGGTTCTTGAAGAAAATGATTTGTTAATGAATAAAAAGTCCCAATGGGAAACTCTTTATAGAAGGCCTTCTGCAATGCTCCTTTTTTATGTTATTATGTTCTTATATTATTCATTCTTCACTGGGGTGAAGGTGGATAGACACGGATGAGTCAGCTACCAGTGGTGTGGCAGTGGTGGAGGTGCATCTACCCTCTGGCTACTACGTTATGCAGGACTACCTCATTGAACTAGTTAACTCGCGCACCATCAGGAACCTCCGCTGGGCTTTAAGGACAGACACACAAGTCAAGTTCTTCTTTAATCATGTGAGTGTCATCACCTTTTTGAGTGCATTCACAAACCACAGAACAGGTGGGATTTGAACATATGAATGACAAGAGAGTTGTAAAACTCTAGGTCAGCTGGCTGCAATCTTATTCTAAACAGCTGGCCCAGTGGCCAGATGGGTTCAAACTCCACCCGTTCCGTGGTTTGTTTCCAGTCATGTTACACATTCACATTAGCACAAATATACTATAATAGGTATTAAAAACAGTGACTCATGGTCAGTCATTTCCTAGGCTGCTATGAGCAATATTTGTCATTTCAAGAAGGCCAAGGTAATTAGCCAGGTAAATAAATAAAGTATGAGTTAGGTAAAGAGGGTATGAGCAGTAAAGAGAGAATGTTTGTGGAACAAAGTAGCAAATTTTTGATAATGTCCACAGTTTTGGGAATTTTCTGATTCGTGATGGATGCAAGTGCTGAATTTCAGGGCGCAGTCAAGGCGAATCCCTAAGAATTTCCTCTCATTGCTACACTTAACCACCATCGCACCACCCATAACTCATCACCACATGACCTCTACACCATCCACTCTCAACCCACTTCCATACAATCATCACTTAGTGCCATGCACTTAATACCATCAGTCACAAACACATTTTAAGCATTTTCCTCCATTATATTATTTTAAAAAACCTCAGAATTTAACTGGGTTACAAAGAAATGAGGGAAATTGAGGGTAGTAGGTTGGTAGACAGCAACCACCCAGGGAGGTACTACTGTCCTGCCAAGTGAGTGTAGAAAGAAAGCCTGTAATTGTTTTACATGATGGTAGGATTGCTGATGTCTTTTGTCTGTCTCATAAATATGCAAGATTACAGGTATGTCTTGCTACTTATACTTACACTTAGGTCACACTACACATACATGTACACATTTATTTATACACGCTCATCTGAGTTTTCTTTGATTTTTATATTAATAGTTCTTGGTCTTATTACTTTTCCTTTTATATCCATGGGGAAGTGGAATAAGAATCTTTCCTCCGTAAGCCATGCGTGTTGTAAAAGTCAACTAAAATGCCGGGAACAATGGGCTAGTAACCCCTTTTCCTGTAAAGATTACTAAAAAGAATAAGAAGAAAATTGTCAAAGTGGGAAGTCTGAATGTGCATGGATGTTGTGCAAATGATAAGAAAGAGATGATTGTGGATGTTATGAATGAGAAGAAGCTGGATGTCCTGGCTTTAAGTGAAACAAAGCTGAAGGGGGTGGGAGAGTTTCAATGGAGAGGAATAAATGGGATTAGGTCAGGGGTTTCAAATAGAGTTAGAGCTAAAGAAGGAGTAGCAATAATGTTGAAGGATAAGCTATGGCAGGAAAAGAGGGACTACAAATGTATTAATTCAAGGATTATGTGGATGTGAAAAGTGGGTTATAATAAGCGTATATGCACCTGGAGAAGAGAGAAGTGTAGAGGAGAGAGAGAGATTTTGGGATATGTTGAGTGAATGCATGGGGAGTTTTGAATCAAGTGTGAGAGTAATGGTGGTTGGGGATTTCAATGCTAAAGTGGGTAAAAATGTTATGGAGGGAGTAGTAGGTAAATTTGGGGTGCCAGGGGTAAATGTAAATGGGGAGCCTTTAATTGAGCTATGTGTAGAAAGAGATTTGGCAATAAGTAATACATATTTTATGAAAACGAGGATAAATATACAAGGTATGATGTAGCACGTAATGAAAGTAGTTTATTAGATTATGTATTGGTGGATAAAAGGTTGATGGGTAGGCTCCAGGATGTACATGTTTATAGAGGGGCAACTGATATATCGGATCATTTAGTTGTAGCTACAGTTAGAGTAAGAGGTAGATGGGAAAAGAGGAAGGTGGCAACAACAAGTAAGAGGGAGGTGAAAGTGTATAAACTAAGGGAGGAGGAAGTTCGGGTGAGATATAAGTGACTATTGGCAGAAAGGTGGGCTAGTGCAAAGATGAGTAGTGGGGGGTTGAAGAGGGTTGGAATAGTTTTAAAAATGCAGTATTAGAATGTGGGGCAGAAGTTTGTGGTTATAGGAGGGTGGGGGCAGGAGGAAAGAGGAGTGATTGGTGGAATGATGAAGTAAAGGGTGTGATAAAAGAGAAAAAGGTAGCTTGCGAGAGGTTTTTACAAAGCAGAAGTGTTATAAGAAAAGCAGAGGTGTATGGAGAGTAAAAGAAAGGTAAAGAGAGTGGTGAGAGAGTGCAAAAGGAGAGCAGATGATAGTGGGAGAGGCACTGTCAAGAAATTTTAATGAAAATAAGAAAAAATTTTGGAGTGAGTTAAAAAAGTTAAGAAAGCCTAGGGAAAGTATGGATTTGTCGGTTAAGAACAGAGTAGAGGAGTTAGTAGATGGGGAGATGGAGGTATTAGGTAGATGGCGAGAATATTTTGAGGAACTTTTAAATGTTAAGGAAGAAAGAGAGGCAGTAATTTCATGCACTGGTCAGGGAGGTATACCATCTTTTAGGAGTGAAGAAGAGCAGAATGTAAGTGTGGGGGAGGTACGTGAGGCATTACGTAGAATGAAAGGGGGTAAAGCAGCTGGAACTGATGGGATCATGACAGAAATGTTAAAAGCAGGGGGGATATAGTGTTGGAGTGGTTGGTACTTTTGTTTAATAAATGTATGAAAGAGGGGAAGGTACCTAGGGATTGGCAGAGAGCATGTGTAGTCCCTTTATATAAAGGGAAAGGGGACAAGAGAGACTGTAAAAATTATAGAGGAATAAGTTTACTGAGTATACCAGGAAAAGTGTACAGTAGGGTTATAATTGAAAGAATTAGAGGTAAGACAATGTAGGATTGCGGATGAGCAAGGAGGTTTCAGAGTGGGTAGGGGATGTGTAGATCAAGTGTTTACATTGAAGCATATATGTGAACAGTATTTAGATAAAGGTAGGGAAGTTTTTATTGCATTTATGGATTTAGAAAAGGCATATGATAGAGTGGATAGAGGAGCAATGTGGCAGATGTTGCATGTATATGGAATAGGTGGTAAGTTATTAAATGCTGTAAAGAGTTTTTATGAGGATAGTGAGGCTCAGGTTAGGGTGTGTAGAAGAGAGAGAGACTACTTCCTGGTAAAAGTAGGTCTTAGACAGGGATGTGTAATGTCAACATGGTTGTTTAATATATTTATAGATGGGGTTGTAAAGGAAGTAAATGCTAGGGTGTTCGGGAGAGGGGTGGGATTAAATTTTGGGGAATCAAATTCAAAATGGGAATTGACAGTTACTTTTTGCTGATGATACTGTGCTTATGGGAGATTCTAAAGAAAAATTGCAAAGGTTAGTGGATGAGTTTGAGAATGTGTGTAAAGGTAGAAAGTTGAAAGTGAACATAGAAAAGAGTAAGGTGATGAGGGTATCAAATGATTTAGATAAAGAAAAATTGGATATCAAATTGGGGAGGAGGAGTATGGAAGAAAATGTTTTCAGATACTTGGGAGTTGACGTGTCGGCGGATGGATTTATGAAGGATGAGGTTAATCATAGAATTGATGAGGGAAAAAAGGTGAGTGGTGCGTTGAGGTATATGTGGAGTCAAAAAACGTTATCTATGTAGGCAAAGAAGGGAATGAATGAAAGTATAGTAGTACCAACACTCTTATATGGGTGTGAAGCTTGGGTGGTAAATGCAGCAGCGAGGAGACGGTTGGAGGCAGTGGAGATGTCCTGTTTAAGGGCAACGTGTGGTGTAAATATTATGCAGAAAATTCAGAGTGTGGAAATTAGGGAAAGGTGTGGAGTTAATAAAAGTATTAGTCAGAGGGCAGAAGAGGGGTTGTTGAGGTGGTTTGGTCATTTAGCGAGAATGGATCAAAGTAGAATGACATGGAAAGCATGTAAATCTATAGGGGAAGGAAGGTGGGGTAGGGGTCATCCTCGAAAGGGTTGGAGAGAGGGGATAAAGGAGGTTTTGTGGGCAAGGGGCTTGGACTTCCAGCAAGCGTGCATGAGCGTGTTAGATAGGAGTGAATTGAGACGAATGGTACTTGGGACCTGACGATCTGTTGGAGTGTGAGCAGGGTAATATTTAGTGAAGGGATTCAGGGAAACCGGTTATTTTCATATAGTCGGACTTGAGTCCTGGAAATGGGAAGTACAATGCCTGCACTTTAAAGGAGGGGTTTGGGATATTGGCAGTTTGGAGGGATATGTTGTATCTTTATATGTGTGTGCTTCTAAACTGTTGTATTCTGAGCACCTCTGCAAAAACAGTGATAATGTGTGAGTGTGGTGAAAGTGTTGAATGATGAAAGTATTTTCTTTTGGGGGATTTTCTTTCTTTTTTGGGTCGCCCTGCCTCGGTGGGAGACGGCTGACTTGTTGGAAAAAAAAAAAAAAAATGGCTTTGCATGCACTCTGGTGTGTGGAACATTTACTTGTCTTTTCCAGGGAGTGTTGCCCTGTTCCATTGTACGTATTTTTTTTAGGTGATTTGTTAACTTTCTGTCAGTCGCATAATATAAAGGTCTTATTTCAGTATATTTCCTAAAGAAAGCATTAAGGCGGCTCCTGGAAGCTTCATTGTGTATCTGAAGCTCACTTCAAGATCAATATTTACAATTTTTTCCTGACAAAATACTACCACTACTGTAATGGCTTCATTTTTTTATATAATTATTTTACATCCTATTTTAAAGTTTCATAGTGAAGTGCATTTTTATAAAAGACAACCATTTAAATGCATTTGAATTGATAGACCCCAATGGAAATAAGTCACTCTGTCTGACTCTTTTTGGGTTATCCCAGGTTCTCTACACAGATGCTGCTATGTATGATAATTCTATGTAACTGTATTTGTGTATAACTGAATAAACTTACTTATTTACTGGATGGTGAAATGTCTACAATAACGATGCCCAGATGTTGCACATGTCCAATTTTCATTAAAATGCATTTAAATTTCTCTAATTTTGTGTTGATTTGATCCCCCAGCTGGACACAACTGAGACTTGTTTAACATACGAGGTACAGCGATGGCACCCAGTGTCCAACCACTCCCGCTACAACATGGCCAGAGTCTATGACTTGTACCAGCCAGGTGAGCACTCCGAGTATTGTGTTGGTAGCACAAGTATGGAAAAATAAACACAAATCTAGTATAATGCGATCCTTTATTGACGTTTCACTCACACACTGGGCTTTATCAAGTCACAAACAGATCTACCTGGGTGAATAGTACACGAGTACTATCTATAGTCTAGAACTATGGAGCAAAACTCCTCTTCAGGCTGAGGGACTGACCACCTCAAAACTGTTGACATCGTCTTTACTGCTTCTGTTCACTCTTCTGTACTTAACTGAGGAGGCTTACTGTGTAGGCAAAACGTTTCAGAATAAAGATGCCTGTTACACATGTCTTATTTGTAATAACGTTTGTATTCTCCTGTGCAGAACGTTTTAACATGACCATGATGGAAGTGTACCAGCTGTATGACCTTGATGTCTGTGAAGTCTGTGGCTCTTATCAGGTAAGTGCATATTTGGAAAGACACTTGTGTACGGTTCAGGACATTTATCAGGGGGAAACTCTTTCTCACGAGTGGCTTCTTCAGTCGCTTGTGGCAAAATGTTTCCCACTAATGAATGTCCTGAACTGTACATATATCCGTTTCCACATTATTGTTGTTCTGCTTCCACTTGTATATTATTATTGTTACAGATCTGCTATGTCGTAAGTTCTTTTTCTTATATAACTGCTGAGAATCGCACATACTCAGAAAAATAAACACAAATTCAGTATGTGATCCTTTATTGACAACATTTCACCCACACGGTGGATTTTATCAGGTCACAGATCTACCTGGGTTAACAGTACATGAGTAGTCAGGTGAACAATGCTGGGTAGGTTAAATTTGGAATGGACCTGTAAGGTACCGCAGAGAATGTTTGGTAGGTTGGATCTAAGACTGACCTGCATGGGATGGGTGGGTGTGTATATTATGTAGGATAACAATGAAGTTTCTTGGCAAGGGGCTCGGCTGTTATTAAAGCTTTTGTTTTGGTGGAAATTGTTGGATATACAGATAAGTGATGGTTCCAGGATTCAGCGGTATTGTTTTCTTCCCTGGCAGCAAGTCTTGCATTTCTGTAGCTGATTAAATGGTTATGAAAATTTTAGTGTTGAACACAGGCATTCCTTAAATCATCCGATCTGCCTGCATACTGGTGTTCTGAAAGAAGTGTTTGGACATCTCTGGATGTTTTGCCCACATTAATTGGTTTGTCATTGAAAGGGATTATGTATACCCCTGCAGAGGATTGAACCTTGGCCTGTCTATTCCTGGTGATGTCCTTGATGGTGGTGGACGTGTAGGGAGACACCAATGGAGTTGGTGGGGGAGGACTTTGTATCTCTTCTCAGCAGTGTCTTCTCTGCTGAGAAGACGTCTGCAGTCTCTGATGAAGTGATGAGGATAGTGAAGTTCAGAAAATACTTGTTCGATGAGAGAGCATTCCTCCTCAGGAAATTCACTGTTGTAGATTTGGAGTGCATGAAGGAAAATGCCTATAATTACACCACGTTTGGTTTTCGTGTCATGGTGGAGTAGAAGTGGAGAAGTTAGTGTTGGTTGGCATATTTTTGATACTTTAATACCATATAGATGCCCAAATGAATAAAAACTGACAATCTGATGCAAGATCGGAGGCAGTGCTAAAGCAGTGTACCCATACGATTATAATTTTATGCTTTTTGGTTCACTAACACTATAGAAAATGCATACATCAGAGATGACTGTAGAAATTAGTTTAATATCATTAATAATATTTATTTCTACAAGTACATATACATTGTATACAGGCCTAGCCGACATCAATGACATACTACTATATAGAAAACCAGTTATGCAGAGCATTTTGGGCAATTTTGTCCCAGGATGCAACCCACACCAGTCGACTAACACCCAGGTACCTCATTTACTGATAAGTGACCATGGACCCACATCCTAATGTTTTCCAGCCATACTGGACATTCGATCTTCAGACCTAGGTGTGTGAGCTGAGTACACTAGCGATCGAGCTAGGGGACACCCCATACCCATCCTGTGGGTGGTAGTTAAAGGATTACAGAGGTACATAATGGGTCCAGGGACTGGCCCACAAACTTTTAATACAGGCTGGCCATCACTAATCTGGCAATCGTTTATCCGGTTCCATCAGTAATCCGGCACTAATTTCGGCTAGCATAACTTCTGATTTCATCATTATACAGACTCGGAAATTGTGCAGATGGTTGTAAATCCACAGCAGCAAGCCAGTGGAGGAGAAAGCAGTGATGAAAATGAAGATGTAGCAGAAAGTCTCTATTGATAGGTTAATTAAGTGTATTCTAACCTAACTACACTCTGTAATCCAGCAAACTCTCTACTCCTGCACACTACAAGTCCCAATGATGCCGGATTAGTGATGGCCGACCTGTAGTAATGAACTACAGCCTTTCACTTAGCGATGTACTCGTTTACCAATGCCTCGAACTTGCAACGGGCTCTCTGACCAGTATACATACCTAAATAATGTACGTATATTAGAGTGGATTTTCTCTATTGTTTATTACAGTATATTACTGTATAAGCATTTAAGAATATACCAGAAATGTTATAAATGGTGCAAAGATAGTTGATGCAGCCAGCAGCAACAGCCTGGTTGATCAGGCTCTGATCCACCAGGAGGCCTGGTCACAGACCGGGCCGCAGGGGCATTGACCCCCGGAACTCTCTCCAGGTAAACAAACTCGCTATTATAGTATGCTCCTCACTAAGTAATGAATTTGTTTACGTACATGATCTTAGGAACAAGACTCCATCGTTAAGTGAGGAGAGGCTGTACATGACACTCCTTTTGTATGCCAAGACTCATAAATAGTGCAATTCTCTCAAAAAAGTAGTATGTTTGGCTTCTCTTTCCTCAATATCTTGGAAGCAAGTTATTGACTGGCCTAGTTACTGAAAATCACCCATTAATAATGAACGGATTGAAAGTATTTTCACAAACATTCAACAACGAATGTTTTGCAAACGGGAGTAAATATTTTCACAATAGCACAATTTTTTTTTTTTTTTTTGGAGAGGGGGAGGGAGGTTAAAGGGCAGATATTTTACTGGAGTTTACCTGGAGTTTACCTGGAGAGAGTTTCGGGGGTCAACGCCCCCGCGGCCCGGTCTGTGACCAGGCCTCCTGGTGGATCAGCGCCTGATCAACCAGGCTGTTGCTGCTGGCTGCACGCAAACCAACGTACGAGCCACAGCCCGGCTGATCAGGAACTGCCTTTAGGTGCTTGTCCAGTGCCAGCTTGAAGACTGCCAGGGGTCTGTTGGTAATCCCCCTTATGTGTGCTGGGAGGCAGTTGAACAGTCTCGGTCCCCTGACACTTATTGTATGGTCTCTTAACGTGCTAGTGACACCCCTGCTTTTCATTGGGGGGATGGTGCATCGTCTGCCAAGTCTTTTGCTTTCGTAGTGAGTGATTTTCGTGTGCAAGTTCGGTACTAGTCCCTCTAGGATTTTCCAGGTGTATATAATCATGTATCTCTCCCTCCTGCGTTCCAGGGAATACAGGTTTAGAAACCTCAAGCGCTCCCAGTAATTGAGGTGTTTTATCTCCGTTATGCGCGCCGTGAAAGTTCTCTGTACATTTTCTAGGTCGGCAATTTCACCTGCCTTGAAAGGTGCTGTTAGAGTGCAGCAATATTCCAGCCTAGATAGAACAAGTGACCTGAAGAGTGTCATCATGGGCTTGGCCTCCCTAGTTTTGAAGGTTCTCATTATCCATCCTGTCATTTTTCTAGCAGATGCGATTGATACAATGTTATGGTCCTTGAAGGTGAGATCCTCCGACATAATCACTCCCAGGTCTTTGACGTTGGTGTTTCGCTCTATTTTGTGGCCAGAATTTGTTTTGTACTCTGATGAAGATTTAATTTCCTCATGTTTACCATATCTGAGTAATTGAAATTTCTCATCGTTGAACTTCATATTGTTTTCTGCAGCCCACTGAAAGATTTGGTTGATGTCCGCCTGGAGCCTTGCAGTGTCTGCAATGGAAGACACTGTCATGCAGATTCGGGTGTCATCTGCAAAGGAAGACACGGTGCTGTGGCTGACATCCTTGTCTATGTCGGATATGAGGATGAGGAACAAGATGGGAGCTAGTACTGTGCCTTGTGGAACAGAGCTTTTCACCGTAGCTGCCTCGGACTTTACTCTGTTGACGACTACTCTCTGTGTTCTGTTAGTGAGGAAATTATAGATCCATCGACCAACTTTTCCTGTTATTCCTTTAGCGCGCATTTTGTGCGCTATTACGCCATGGTCACACTTGTCGAAGGCTTTTGCAAAGTCTGTATATATTACATCTGCATTCTTTTTGTCTTCTAGTGCATTTAGGACCTTGTCGTAGTGATCCAGTAGTTGAGACAGACAGGAGACGACCTGTTCTAAAAACCCATGTTGCCCTGGGTTGTGTAACTGATGGGTTTCTAGATGGGTGGTGATCTTGCTTCTTAGGACCCTTTCAAAGATTTTTATGATATGGGATGTTAGTGCTATTGGTCTGTAGTTCTTTGCTGTTGCTTTACTGCCCCCTTTGTGGAGTGGGGCTATGTCTGTTGTTTTTAGTAACTGAGGGACGACCCCCGTGTCCATGCTCCCTCTCCATAGGATGGAAAAGGCTCGTGATAGGGGCTTCTTGCAGTTCTTGATGAACACAGAGTTCCATGAGTCTGGCCCTGGGGCAGAGTGCATGGGCATGTCATTTATCGCCTGTTCGAAGTCATTTGGCGTCAGGATAACATCGGATAGGCTTGTGTTAATCAAATTTTGTGGCTCTCTCATAAAAAATTCATTTTGATCTTCGACTCTCAGTCTGGTTAGCGGCTTGCTAAAAACTGAGTCATATTGGGACTTGAGTAGCTCACTCATTTCCTTGCTGTCATCTGTGTAGGACCCATCTTGTTTAAGTAGGGGCCCAATACTGGACGTTGTTCTCGATTTTGATTTGGCATAGGAGAAGAAATACTTTGGGTTTCTTTCGATTTCATTTATGGCTTTTAGTTCTTCCCGCGATTCCTGACTCCTAAAGGATTCTTTTAGCTTAAGTTCGATGCTTGCTATTTCTCTGACCAGTGTCTCCCTGCGCATTTCTGATATATTGACCTCTTTTAGCCGCTCTGTTATTCTTTTCCGTCGCCTGTAAAGGGAGCGCCTGTCTCTTTCTATTTTACATCTACTCCTCCTTTTTCTTAGAGGAATAAGCCTTGTGCATACATCGAGTGCCACCGAGTTAATCTGTTCTAGGCATAAGTTTGGGTCTGTGTTGCTTAGTATATCTTCCCAGCTTATATCGGTTAGGACTTGGTTTACTTGGTCCCACTTTATGTTTTTGTTATTGAAGTTGAATTTGGTGAATGCTCCCTCGTGACTAGTCTCATTTTGTCGGTCTGAGGCTCCACGCATACATGTCTGAACCTCAATTATGTTGTGATCTGAGTATATTGTTTTTGATATGGTGACATTTCTTATCAGATCATCATTGTTAGTGAAGATGAGGTCTAGTGTATTCTCCAGTCTAGTAGGCTCTATTATTTGCTGGTTTAAATTGAATTTTGTGCAGAGATTTAAAAGCTCGTGTGAGTGTGAGTTTTCATCAGAGCTGCCTCCTGGTGTTATTACTGCAACAATATTATTTGCTATATTCCTCCATTTTAGGTGCCTTAAGTTGAAATCCCCCAGGAGCAAGATGTTGGGTGCAGGAGCTGGAAGATTTTCCAGACAGTGGTCAATTTTTAACAGCTGTTCCTGGAATTGCTGGGATGTTGCATCCGGAGGCTTGTAGACTACCACAATGACTAGGTTTTGGTTCTCGACCTTTACTGCTAAAACTTCCACTACGTCATTTGAGGCATTAAGCAGTTCTGTGCAAACAAGTGACTCTGCAATGTACAGGCCAACCCCCCCCTTTTGCCTGTTCACTCTGTCACATCTGTATAGGTTGTAACCTGGGATCCATATTTCGTTGTCCAAGTGATCCTTTATGTGGGTCTCAGTGAAAGCCGCGAACATTGCCTTTGCCTCTGCAAGCAGTCCACGGATGAAAGGTATTTTGTTGTTTATTGCTGGCTTTAGACCCTGTATATTTGCAAAGAAGAATGTTATCGGACTGGTGGTATTGTTGGTACTGGGGGGGGATTTTTTTTCCGGCATTAGTATCTGTATCTGTTGGTTTGGAGTGGAGGCCATCGACTGTGGTTCCACTCCAGGAATGACTGGATTTGGTGTACGATTTCTGCCATTTCCTGCCAGTTTTTTTTCCTTCCTGGCACTAAAAAACCTCTCCCTCTTGAGTGGCTGTGGCTACCCAGGTTTTCCCATGGCCTGGATGTTTTGTATCTTTTTGTCCCCTTTAGATGGTATGCCTGGCAATTTAAGTTATAGCACAGTCTTTCCTGTACTGAAGAGGTACACATTTCAGGGTGAAAAAGCTTACAGGAAGGGAGTTTGCATTTTCCTGTTGTCATATGGGCATGACATTTTCTAGGGTGGTCATAGTTGCATGTCCCATCTGTTTTTCCAGATTTCCCATGCCAGCAGATACCAAGTGCATAGTATGTGCACAGGCTTGGTTTCCGTTTGCCTTGGGTTTCTGTGACTGTATTCCCTGTTGGTGCATGTTTCCCTGTCTTATTCCTATCCTCCTTAGCACCAACAATGGAGCTCCCACCAGTTGTTTTTGGTAATTTATCCTCACTATTGCTATTGGAGTCCTCTTGTTTGCTATTTCCTGCGGTATTTCTGGTTTGCAATATTGGTTTTATCTTATCTTTGACTACACTTGTTTCCCTACTATGGCTCCTGTCCTCTATGAGGTCATTTATATGTATTCCTTCCTGCGTATAATTCCCGACTACCTGGACAAAATCTCCAGCTTCACCATTACTGTCTACCAGGACAGTATCTCCAGCTTCACCATTTCTGTCTCCCAGGACAGCACCTCCAGCTTCACCATTACTGTCTCCCAGGACAGTATCTCCAGCTTCACCATTACTGTCTCCCAGGACAGCACCTCCAGCTTCACCATTACTGTCTCCCAGGACAGCACTATCAGCCCTACATTTACTGACTACCAGGACATCACCTCCAGCCTTACAGTTTGTGACTACATGGCCAGTATCAAGGGCAGTACCATTCAGCCCGGACTTTTTATGTTCCCATCTGTTGTAGAAAGCTTCCAGGTTTTCTATGAAAGCAGCTTTGATGTTATCCTCTTTTAATACCCTTGTGATTTTAGTCCACAGATTTTCCTCATTTGGGCATACCCAAAAACACTTCTCTGTTTTAATACTGCTTGTAGCTAGTTCTGGGATATCTGCACAAGGAGCGTGACACCAATTTCCACAAAAATGACAATTTATCCATGTGGTAGCCCGTTTGTTTGACTGACCACAGACTACACACAGCTTCATAATGATTTGAATGGTTGATTTACTGCAAGTCTACTAGCAACCTCTTGAATATTATATTAATAACCTTAAATGAAGCTCTAGCTATTTGTATTTCTGTTTCTAACTCTTTTTGTATATTGGACAGCTTACCGTCACGTTCCTGATTTTTAATGTTTGTGTTTATAAGGGCGCCTACAAACCCATCCGTTTACAGTCTGCTTTATTGTCCAACGAAACTGTTTGAAACCAGTCCCGGGTTCGGACCAGTCAAGGGTTCGGACCAGTCAAGGGTTCGGACCAGTCGATCTGCTCTGATCAGTGGGTCACTTATTTAAAACATACTGGTCGGTGATTTGAGCTAACACATGAAGGATCTACTGGAAATTATCTACCCGAGTAATATGTGATTTGACTGATACAAAAGTATAACTTGCGTGTTGAAGAGCCGGTGATATCTGGCAGCTCCTACAATGACGTACAGAAACTTGCCAATTTTATTTGGGGGGAGGAGGGACAAAAATAAAGTATATTTATAGTACAGTGGACCCCCGGTTAACGAACTTTTTTCATTCCAGTAGTATGTTCAGGTGCCAGTACTGACCGAATTTTTTCCCATAAGGAATATTGTGAAGTAGATTAGTCCATTTCAGACCCCCAAACATACACGTACAAACGCACTTACATAATTGGTCGCATTTGGAGGTGATCGTTAAGCGGGGGTCCACTATATTTAATTACATAATTGGTTTAACATTGTTTTATCAGCAGTGCCAAAAACACTTGGTAGTGTCAGTACGCAAGGTCTTTCTGTCGAATCCAGCCTTCAATATATATAGTATATTTTTATTCATTTGTTTGTTGGCCGATCTTAATGAAGCCTTTTATATCAAAATATGACATGTACGCTTGTTAAAACAAAGAAAAAAGAAATGAAATTGGACAAAGAAAAAAAAAAGCTATACGAATACTCCTAAATCCATGAAGTTCAGATATTACATGAGAACTGTGAAAACAATCAGTCTTTGGACTATAGAAAAGTACTTTTGTTCAAGATATCGAGTCTTAAATATGAGCAGTGTCCCATCAGGTCTGGTAAACAAGACTCTACCAGAGACATGAGTAACACGAGTGACTGAACCATAAGATATTTTTAACATGCAAATTGACACTGACCTCTCTCTCCTACTTTCTTAGACACAGAATTTCAAATTAAAAATGCTAAAAATATAATATAAATTATTTGATTTTCATTTCATTATCAAAAGCGGTTAATTTTTTGTTAAAGATGGTAAATATTTTTACCATAATTAATAAAATATTTGTTGTGGAGATGTGTAGTGGGATCTCGAGTGGTAGGTGTAGAAAGAAACTCGTCTTCAAAGTCTTGCATAATGCCAAACCTGGACCATTGTATGGGCTGCCTTAAATTCTTTAATCCAACATATATGAGAGACCAGTCACTTAGGGATAGCCAGCACACCAAGAAATTGCTGATACCCTTGTTGTCTAAGATAAAGACCATTAACATTTTTTTTTTTTTTAAACAAGAAAATTGCCAGCTTAATGTCACATTTTTATCAAAGCTACAACCTACCAAGCTGTTAATTTACAACAGAGAAATGACAAACATGGAACTTTCCCTGCCAGGTCAGGACTTTGTTGGCCCACCTGAACTTTGTTAACTTTAACTGTTTCACATTTAACAGTACAGGCTACAGCCAAAAATTTGGTATGGCTATGGGTTCACCAATCAGTGTAGTTCTGGCCATCCTGAAACATGGACTTGCTGGAAGTCAAATGATTCAAGGATATTCCAACTAATGTAGTTTGGCTGTGGTGTGCCAATGACTTCTTCATCCCACCCAGAAGATTCATCATTGACACCTTCCAGTGAAGGCTCACTGGAGGAAAAACAATGATACACTCCCTCTTAGATATTCTGCTCTGCAAATTAGATACACAAATGATATGTAAAGTTTTCAGGAAACCTACTGTTGAACATGACCTTATCCATAGCATGTCATTTAACACCAGATAACTTAAAACTTGCTTCTGGGTATCTAGAAGCCTATGATAAAAATTTGGCTGCATTGATATTTTATGGGAGAGTGATGAATTTAAAAACAAATTCACAAATAAATGTAAGGTACTGAAAAATGATTATAGCTCAGTTAGTTGACTGATGATTAATATTTTTGTCCTTTTCAGTGTCCATACTGCCCATTCTACAGCAGCGGACGAGCCCTTAACAGCATCCACTTGATGATCCTGCTTGTCTTGGCCCTGATACTGACAAGGACAGCCCAGTGCTGATATTGCTTCTTGTCTGCCTCCTCAGTAACTACTGGGCAGTAGCCTCCAGCAGTCTCTCAAGTGCTGCTTGATCAGGAACACCCTTCACTTCTCAAGAGTGATTCTGTGATCTGGTGTCACATTTCTCATACTAACGATCTGGAAGATCATGGGAAATTTTATTGCTTGGTAAATTACCCAAGATGAGTATGTGAAGGAAGCAAGCAAGCATCGAAAGTGAATAAGTTTTGCTCGAGGTGTTTAACGTTTCATACTTATATTGAAAACTCATATTTTTACCTGTTCCTTGAAGGTTCCATGATTTGAGTTTCTGTATATTGATTTTCAACACTAATCAGGTAAATTCGTTCCTAAAGCATGAAATATAAACATTTTATGTTAGTGTGTGTTTAATTTTGACTTTAGTGTACTAGTTCCAAAATCATTGTGTTTATGGAGGAAGGTACACATCTAACACTTGTTTGTGCTGCATGAGGCTAATGGTATGTTTTAATTCCATATGCTTCATAAAAAATGAAGATAACAGCATACCCAGGATACGTAAAATTATAAGAAGAGATTAGAAGCACATTCATGTTAATTAGTAAGAACTTCCCTGGAAGAACCTGTAGAGAATCTGGAAATTGCAGGCGAAGTACAGAAGCTCTGCTTACGAATTAAAAACTTAGTAAATGTGAAGGAATTAATATGAAAATGCAAAGAGGAAAATGATTTTTCATGGCAAGAATATCGTAAGCAGAGTTTCAGCACTGTTTGGGCATAGTTTATATCGGAGTCCGTTTTAGTACTCCTGTGTTAATTTTTGTGGAAATCGAGAATATGTTTATAAATGCAAAGAGTATCTGTAAGCTGGCTATGAGAATAGCAACAGAAATATATCGTCATCAAAAATATCACCGAAGATAACCTACCAGTCTCTAGGATTATGTAATTTCATGATATTCATTTATTGAAATGTGGCTGAAGGCACAAGATACCGAGCACATGTTATTAGAACATGAACAAAATATGGGAAGAAGAATAAATGAAATACATGAACAGTTGCATGGGAAATTAAAAATACAAGCTTTTGATACAAATATACACAAAACATCAGATAATGTTTCCCTTCAAGCAAGGAATGGAAAGACTGGATTAAAACTGCTTCTATTTCCTGGTGTTGGCAGGAAAATATCATGATGCACGAACCATGACAGATTATCCACATCTGACTAAATATTACCCAACATAATTTAACTTTGCTTTGAGAATATAATTTCACGTTGCTCTGAGAATATATTAACTCGTTAGGTATATATAATGGATTGTTACCAGTGACTCGCATGGAGTGTTGGACGTGCATATGTGATAGTAGTTGTTTCCATCTAAAACATTATACAGTGGACCCCCGCTTAACGATCACCTCCAAATGCGACCAATTATGTAAGTGTATTTATGTAAGTGCGTTTGTACGTGTATGTTTGGGGGTCTGAAATGGACTAATCTACTTCACAATATTCCTTATGGGAAAAAATTCGGTCAGTACTGGCACCTGAACATACTACTGGAATGAAAAAAGTTCGTTAACCGGGGGTCCACTGTATATATAAATAAAAAATGTATGAAATTTATATATTTATAAATTTATATATTTATATATGGGAGATGGCCGACTTTAAAAAAAATAAAAAAATGTATATATATATTATACATATATATAAAATGCAGTTTAATGTAGTTAATGTCCAGATACAATGTATGGCAAAATGGCTTTGAAAAAACACTAAATGCAAAATGAGACAAGCAAAATAACTAATTATCACAAGTTTTTCTTACTTGAAATGTCAATAACTTCAAAAGTGCAACATGTCACTGAGTGTGAAGGGACTCCAAAGTATCCACTGAAGAGGGACTAAATCCATATTAAAGAACATTGTAGTTCATTAACTGGGGAGTAATCCTCTGAGGTATTGTTCTTATAAAGTATCCATCTTCTACAAGAAAATTCCTTCTGGCATTGTTACTCCTTGAAGGAAGGACACCCAGCTTTCTATGCACTCGTGCAGATCTTTAAGAGGAAATCCACATTTCAAAGACACTTTTGCACCTTAAGATGACCAAGAGTCTCTGACAGCAACGTAGCTCTTAAATAATTGCCACAATCTTCTTGGAATGAGCAAACGGGTTTAAAGAATTCGTAATTTGCTTTCTCAGAAAGTGTGATTGCCAAGTAATACCACAGAGGAAGAATCGCTCAGAGGAGCACCATACTGCTCCTGGCATACTACTGTATCTTACTGCATTTTGGAGCTAGAATTCTCTGTAAAACAGTGTTTATTGATGATATATTTTTGCATGTTTTGTCACCTGTAAGGTAATATGCTCTTTCTGCATATAATACTGCTATTTTCTTGAGTGCCATATTGTCTGAATACCATTTTTTAAATATATTAGAGACTAATAAGCTTTGGGTCGTAAGATGTATTAATATTAAAGGAAAAAAAAGTGTTGCATTATTAAGCTTATTTTATAACTTACAAAGGTTTGAAAGTGTATATGTATATACTGTATTTATAGGACTATGCTTGGAGTTTTATTAATGAATTGTTAATATGAAATTGAAATAATTTGGTGGATGTAACCCTGCTTGTTAAAATATTTAAGCAACTTCATGTTAGGGTTTTATTCCAGTGATATGTTCATCCTGGCCTGCCAGGGGAATAAGGTGGGGTCTGGAACTTTGTAATACCCTTAACGAACTTCTCCCTTACTCTTGTCCCATCAAGGGAGGTGTCTTGAGGCTCAGTAGGGGCACTTGATCCAAGGAACTAGGCCTGTCCTCGGTTTCCTTGGCTTGAAAATGGTTGCCTCCCATTACCCTGTCAGCTATATTACCTTGATGGTTTTAGCATTTCCTTCATGAATGCAATATAAATGCTGATCATAATTCCATACTCATGAAAAATATTGTAAACAAATGAGGTCAGTATTTTGTCTAGTTAATTCTTTCATTTTCCCACTTTGCAATTCTCAATTTCATTTTTAACAAACTTAGTGAACATTTATGTATGTAAACACGCCTGTTATGTGCACATGTATATGGCGAAAACCCACTTATTGAGTACACGTGTATGCATAAACCCACATGAACTGTGGGTCTTGATAAGAAATTGGTTATGTTTATCAAAGTGAGAAGTTGGCTCAACCAAATTATATCCCTCGGCGAGGCATTACATGTGCCACCTCACATCATCCATACATCCGTACACTGTGATAATGTGTCAAGAAGTATGACTTGACGATTAGTGTTTATACGTACATATATATGTATATATACACACATACACAATTATAATTATACACACACACAGTGTACTGTACTGACATTTATTTGTTGATTTTGTTGCAGAAAACAACTTTGTATGAAGGTCCTGCATGATATATAGAGTTTACACATGAATATATTAATTTTAAAAAGAGAACGGGTCATAGGATGTATAAGTTCTTTGCACTGGTATTGGATAAATCATTTATTAACGAAAGTTCCTTAAACAGTGATTCGTGCATAACCAAAGTGCCACATTTAGAGCAGTTTATCCTTATGATACAAAGCAGGCACTTCACTGCACTCTAATTTACACCAAATAGTTAGGTATAACCAATTTCTTGTTCACGTAATGTGATGAACGAGCCACGTCTCGTGCAGAAAATGCTGCACGAGACGTTATTAGCTTAGGATGGATAATTTATTTACTTTTGGCATCAAATTACTTAAATGAATAGCTTTTATTTAAGGAACTTTCATATGTATATTGCCATCACTATTATAGAAACCTCACACTGAAATATCCAGTTTTCTACATAGCATTGAGCCTCCAGTGGATAAGTCGAGCAATGAGACATGTATATATTAGTAGCTTTACAGAACCAGAGGCCATAAGTAGGTCTCCTGAGCCCAGTAGAAATGATGATAAATTTCCATTCATATTTTTCAACACTGATAAATGTCACTTGTTGGGTATGTTATCCTTGTCCATTCATAAACAAACTTAGAATTAGTCAATAATCATCCAATATGCAGTACATTTTGTATTTTAATTTGGTCTATCACCCCATGTGATAAATATTTTCAAATACTTGGCGAGGTTAATTTCCTGTATCTCAGGATATTTAACAAGAAAGAGTGGCTGGCTTAAGGTGGCGAGTGAAAGTTTACTTTAGTTGGGAAAATGGTAAGCCTGTAAGGGTTTTGTAGCATCTGGGCAATGGAAGGAAACCATGTGGCATCTTAAGAAATGATACTGTAGCAGGGAGACACTTAGACGAGCTCTTGGGACCTTGGTGACTAGGCTTGGGTGTCACCAAGCACCCGTGAAAATTGTCGGAATCTGTCGCCTCACATTCATAGCAAAGGTGCCAGGATCTGTTACCTCACATCCAGTTGTGGATTCCAAGATAGTGCACATGTGGGCTCTGAGATGATTTAATTGATGAAAATTAAGACATGTCCAACATCTGGATATCTTTAATGATTTAACATGACTCACGAAATCGTAATGACACGATTGCAAACAAACCATACCACAGGCGGGATTTGAACCCACGGTCAGAGTCTCAAAACTCCAGACCGTCGCGTTAGCCACTGGACCAGCTAGCCACAATAAGATTCGTCCAACTAGGTATATTTCTACACCATAGGAAGGTTAGCATAGGCACCATACCAAGTTGGACGAATCTTGTTGTGGCTAGCTGGTCCAGTGGCTAATGCGACGTTCTGGAGTTTTGACTCTGACCGCGGGTTCAAATCCCGCCCGTGGTATGGTTTGTTTGCAATAGTGTCATAACGATTTCACGAGTCATGTTGACGGCAGTGAGGGGACTTGAGCTAGAGTTAGTCACGGCCACGCTAGCTGGAGATTAGTCTGTAAAAACTTGCATTTGTGGTCAGTGGTGCCTATGCTAACCTTCCTATGGTGTAGAAATATACCTAGATGGACAAATCTTATTGTGGCTAGCTGGTCCAGTGGCTAACGAGATGGTCTGGAGTTTTGAGACTGACCGTGGGTTCAAATCCTGCCCGTGGTATGGTTTAATGATTTACTTGTGAGCTCTGAGATGGTGCATGTGGTTTCTGAGGTGATATGGATTCTGAGATTGTGATGTGACTTCTGAGAGGGGAGGGGGGGGGGGCCAGATGTGGGTTCTGGTATTGTGCAGATGTAAATTCTGAGAGGATGCAGATATGGGCTCCCAGAGATTCATTACATGGGTTTTGACAGGGTGCGAATATGGGTTCTGCGAGGTTGAAGAAATGGGTTTTGAAAGGGGTGCAGATATGTGTGGATTCATAGGACCCACATCTTAAATCTTTCGGAAGACAATAGAGCAGATATAGGTTAAGACAAGCTTCACTGGGCATCAGTGCTACTGAACTGAAGCATCGTTGATGCAGGTCCCAATTAACCCACAAATTACAGATGCAACAAGGATGCTGGTCTGTCCTGGACTATTATTAAAGTGTGTAGTGTCGGCCTCTTATTTGTGACTTAATCATCGGGATAAGTTTCTTCTATGTTAAACTTCATGTGTACACAATTCAAGTAGAGAAATAGTCTGTCTTCAATAAACAATAAGCCATATTTCAAAAGTCATAAGATAAATTGCATATTTTTATTCTGGTTAAGAATATTATATAAATTATATACAAATATATTGTACATAATAGAAAATTAGTTACTGTGTAAGATGTACATTATTGAGTAACATAATACCCAGTGAACTTTTTTTTGATTAAATTTGTACCATTGCTTACTAATCAAAAGTTACATATAGTGTACTTTTTATATACACCATCCTATTGATCAGACTGGTCTCTCATTACCTTACATATGGACTAATGTAAACCACGAGGAAATAATCTCACGACTAGCAATCTGTGACTGTCACATGCTACATAAGCCACTGTATCCTTTATCACCCCTCCTACCTGTTGCTACTATTAACATGCCAGTAGCCAGATAACTTCTTTGGTATATTATGTATTGTGTAATGGTCCAGTATTTAATCTCAGTATTCCTGATATGCATATTATATATGTATTATATTCTTAATAAAATATTAGACATCAACTTTCATTTATGAATCATGATCAGTTTCCTCCATGGACTCGTGCTCACAGCAGAATGTTCCAGGAGCAGATGAAATATCAGTTGAGCGAGTATTAGAGAAAAATCATCATGGCCATGTGTGGCTAGCTGGAGATTATTTTATGAGCATTCTGTGAAAATGCAGGTAAGGTATGAAGCAGTCATGTATAGAAAGCTGAACCGACAGGCTGCTAGTTAGCTTAATTTTGTTATGAACCCCATGCCTATCCTGTTAGCGGCAGTCGAGATATTTACAAAGGTACATAATGGGTCCAGGGACTTGGCTCTTATATTTTGATAGGGAGGCAAGCTATAGTGATAATGAACTAAATAATTTATTTTTCTGTTAGTCATAATGGGTTATGCAAACATGTTTTAGCCACAAACATTACAATGTACTTATGGGGTATACCTGGAGGGGGTTTCGGGGTTCAATGCCCCCACAGTTCAGTCTGAGACCAGGCCTCATGGTGGATCAGGGTCTGATCAACCAGGCTGTTACTGCTGGCTGCACACAAGCTTATGTACAAACCACAGCCCGGTTGATCAGGTACCGACTAGGTGCTTGTCCAGTGCCTTCTTAAAGACAGCTAGGGGTCTATTGGTAATCCCCCTTATGTATGCTGGGAGGCAGTTGAAGTCTTGGGCCCCAGACACTTAAGTTCTCTCTCAAAGTACTCGTGGTGCCCCTGCTTTCCATCAGGGGAATGTTGCATCTCCTGCTGAGTCTTTTGCTTTCATTGGGAGTGATTTTTGTGTGCAGGTTTGGTACCAATTCCTCCAGGACCTTCCAAGTGTTCATTATCGTGTATATCTCTCGCCTGCATTCCAGGGAATACAGATCATGGACCTTCTGAGCATTTTTCTGGAATAGCTGGTGATATGTCAAAGTGGATAGAATACTTGGACATTTCTTGAATATTTGCAAGTAAGTTTTCTTTTAATTCATGACTTTTATCACTTTCCAACACATAATGAGGCAGCCACAATTTACATATAATTGGGTCTCCATCAGCTGGTGGTGCAAACTTCCATGGCAAAGCTGGATGATGATGACATTCAGGAGTCAGCTGATTCTGATGGATTCACCACAAGCATGTGGATTCTAGATGGTTGAAGGACAATCGATAAACTGACTGGTGTTGTCTCAGTCTCAAGTCAATGAAGCTCATTTGAAGTTCTTTCACATTTTTGTCTTCAAATTACTAGTGGACAGGTAAAAAATATAATTATTCTGTCTTTGAAGGCATATGCCGTTCTGTCATGCATTTAAGATCCAATGTCAGATGGAAGGTACAGAATGTCTATTCTGACTTCCTGCCCACATTATTATTATAATCAAAAAGACGCGCTAAGCCACAAGGGCTATACAGCGCTGCAGGGTAGGGAAGGAAGCAAGGGAATTGGATGGCAGGAGGGAGGGGGGATGATCAGCAGGTTACAGAAAACAGCGGGGCAGGGGATAGTACGGGGGTAGAGGGTAGCAAGAGATACAAGTAGAAAGGGCTGAAAGTATCAGAATTTGTGAAGTAAGTCAGTCGTTGTCAAAAAGTCAATAAGAGAGTCCGGATGAAAGGTGGGTCCATCAGCGAGAAGGGAAGGTAAAGAGAGAGCAGCGGGGCGAAGACGACGACAGAGGTAAATTCTGCGTGCTCGTTGATAAAATGGGCAGTCCAACAGAATGTGGCTGACTGATAATGGAGCTTGGCAATTCTCACAGAGAGGAGCAAGACGCCTCTCCATGAGATATCCATGAGTAAGACGAGTATGGCCAATGCGAAGACGGGAGAGAGAGTAGTCTCCCAACCTCGACACTGGTGATAAGAAGACGGCCAGTAACCTATACTCGGTTTAATAGACTGAAGTTTGTTGCCGAGCATAGTAGACCAACGTTGTTGCCAACGGGTGTGAAGGTGGGAAGATATTACAGCAAAATAGTCCGTACATGGAATACTCTGTAAGAAACTGGTAGGTATGTACTGTTTACTGACCTGCGCAGCAGTGGCTGCTGTTCATTGCCCTGTTACGTCAACAGACCAGGGACCCAACAAATAACAATATCTTTATGCTTAGTAAAGATGCGGCGTACGCCAATGTTGGTACGGAGGAATAAGGGGTTGAAGGTGTATCAAATTTTTGTATAGCCTGGAAAAGCACTAAGGGAGTCTGAGACAACCACAAATGATGACACAGGCATAGATGCATACGGATAAGTGCTGTAGGTTGGCATTAATTCGCAGTTATAAAATACTAGCTGAAGATAGTAAATGCCCTTGTACGACGTGTCCGGAAAACACTGCTGCGAATCTACGCCGTCAGAAGACTTAGAGCAATTGTGTTACCAGCTATGGCATGAGATCAAATTTTGAGAATGAGATGTGAAAGAGGTCAAGAAAAAGTCGTGCGGGAAGCGGACCGTAGACAGTTGGGCTTCGAGAAGGGAGGGAGAAAGAACAGACTCGAACAGATGGGACCTCCCAGGGGGTAGGGTAAAGTGAGATGCTACATGTACATAGAAAGGTGGTAAGTTGAAGAGAAGACAAGAAGCGAATTGAAGGCGAAGAGAGAAGGGACGGAGTAAGCAGGGGCGGCGAACAAATAAAGAATGTCTACTAATTACCTGGAGTTTACCTGGAGAGAGTTTCGGGGATCAACGCCCCAGCGGCCGGTCGGTGACCAGGCTCCTGGTGGTTAAGCTCCTGATCAACCAGGTGTTGCTGCTGTGCTCGCAAAACCAACGTACGAGCACAGCCCGGCTGTCAGGAACTGCCTTTAGGTGCTTGTCCAGTGCCAGCTTGAAGACTGCCAGGGGTCTGTTGGTAATCCCCCTTATGTGTGCTGGGAGGCAGTTGACAGTCTCGGTCCCCTGACACTTATTGTATGGTCTCTTAACGTGCTAGTGACCTCACCCCTGCTTTTCATTGGGGGATGGTGCTCGTTCTGACAAGTTCTTTTGCTTTCGTAGGTGAGTGATTTTTCGTGGTGCTAAGTTCGGTACTAGTCCCTCTAGGATTTTCCAGGGTATATAATCAGTATCTCTCCCTCCTGCGGTCCAGGGAATACAGGTTTAGAACCTCAAGCGCTCCCAGTAATGAGGTGTTTTATCTCCGTTATGGGCGACGCCTGTGAAAGTTCTCTGTACAATTTCTAGGTCGGCACCCCCCCCCCCCCCCCCCCCCCCCCCCAATTTCACATGCCTGAAAGGTGCTGTTAGAGTGCAGGCAATATTCAGCCTAGATTGAAACAAGTGACATGATGAGTGTCTTCATGGGGCTTGGCCTCCCTAGTTTGAAAGGATTCTCATTTTCTCATCCTGTCATTTTTCTAGAAGATGCGTTGATACCACTGTATGGGTCCTTGTAAGGTGAAGATTCTCCGACATAATCACTTCCCTGGTCTTGACGTTGGTGTTTCGCTATATTTTGTGGCCAGAATTTGTTTTGTACTCTGATGAGATTTAATTTCCTCATGTTTACCATATTGAGTAATTGAAATTTCTCATCGTTGAACTTCATTATTGTTTTCTGCAGCCACTGAAAGATTTGTTGATGTCCGCCTGGATCCTTGCAGTGTCTGCAATGGAAGCATGTATGCAGATTCGGGTGTCATCTGCAAAGGAAGTCACGGTGCTGTCGGTGACATCCTTGTCTATGTCGGCATATGAGGATTGAGGAACAGATGGGGCTAGTACTTGTGCCCTGTGGAAAAAGAGATTTTCAACCGTAGCTGCCATCGGGACTTTACTCTGTTGACGGATATTTCTCTGTGTTCTGTTAGTTGAGGGAAGGAAATTATAGATCATCGACCATCTTTTCCTGTTTACTTCTTTAGCGCGCTTTTTGTGCGCTATTTCGCATGGTCACACTTGTCGAAGGCTTTGCAAGTCTGTTTATATTACATCTGCATTCTTTTTGTCTTCTAGGGCATTTAGGACCTTGTCGTAGTGAACCGAGTAGTTGAGACAGACAGAGCGACCTAGGTCTAACCGCATGTTGCCCTGGTGTTGTGTAACTGATGGGTTTCTAGATGGGTGGTGATTCTTGTTCTTGGCCCTTTCAAGATTTTATGATATGGGATGTTAGGGCTATGGTCTTGTAGTTCTTTGCTGTTGCTTTACTGCCCCTTTGGGGAGTGGGGCTATGTCTGTTGTTTTTAGTAACTGAGGGCGACCCCGTGTCCATGCGCCTATCATAGGATGGAAAAGGCTCGTCGATAGGGGCTTCTTGCAGTTCTTGAGGACACCAGAGTTTCCATTGAGTCGGCCCTGGGGCAGAGTGAGGGCATGTCATTTATCGCCTGGCTGTTCGAAGTCATTTGGCGTCAGGATACATCGGATTAGGCTTGTGTTAATCAAATTTTGTGGCTCTCTCATAAAAATTCATTTTGATCTTCGACGCTCAGTTGCGTTAGGGCTTGCTAAATAATGGTCATTTTGGGACATGGTGTAGCTCACTCATTTCCTTTCTGTCATCTGTTGTAGGTACCCATTCTTGTTAAGTAGGGCCATACTGGACGTGGTTATCGATTTTGATTTGGCATAGGAAGAAGAATACTTTGGGTTTCTTTAGATTTCATGTATGGACTTTTAGTTCTTCCCGCGATCCTGACTCCTAAAGGATTCTTTTAGCTTATGTTCGATGCTTGGCTATTTCTATGACAGTGTCTCCCTGCGCATTTCTGATTTATTGACTCTTTTAGCCGCTCTGTTATTCTTTTTCGTCGCCTGTTAAAGGGAGCGCCCTGTCTCTTTCTATTTTACATCTACTCACATCCTTTTTTTTCTTAGAGGAATTAGCCTTGTGCTACATCGAGTGCCACGGTTAATCTGTTCTAGGCTAAGTTTGGGTCTGTGTTGCTTAGTTTTTCTTCCCGCTTATATCGGTTAGGAATGGTTTTACTTGGTCCACTTTATGTTTTTGTTATTGAAGTTGTATTTGGTGAATGCTCCCTCGTTGACTAGTCTCATTTTGTTCGCGTCCTGA